AACAGAGACCGTACAGGGGCGTAGGAGGGGTTTTGGTAGTGGTACGACCAACGGTCGGTGCGGCCGAAGGCCGTGTTGGCGGAGGGGGGTTCGGGGGACCTCCCCCGGGAAAATTTTGTAAAAAGGACACAAAATCCTGCGTTCTGGGAACTTCTGGCACACTCCTGATCCTGGCGCAGTGTGCAGTCGAGTCGAGTACAGTAGGTCTACTAAGAACGACTGCAGATGCATGGCAGATCTACGAGTACGAGTCTAGAAAAAGGTCAAAGTCTGATGCGCATATGCATCGATGGATCCTGATTTTTTTTATTACGGTTTTGCACGTTTCGGACGGACCACACTTTTCGAAAAGTGGTACGGCCATGGTCGTACCAGTCGTAGCGGGTGCTACGCCCCTGCCGTAAATGCACACTATAATGTACACCCCAGACGTTTAAGTCTGCATAGATGTTCGTGCAAGACTACCATCGAATAAGAACGAAACTGCTGTGTTCGCTAAAGATAAGAACGGGCTAGGCTAGAACCCTGACCCCCCCCCCCCCCCACCAGTTCTTCAGCGACCGACAGTACTGCATTGGCTATGCGATTACATCACCAGTTGAGATGCTTTGGCACAGTTGCGGCACAGCGGTGCGCTAGCGATGCACTAGCCAGTCACTCTGCATGCATGTACACGGTGTCCATAAGCGGTTCCGCGTTTTTTTGTTGTTAGCACCCATAATCGGTTCCGGATGCGGCTAGTGGGGTTGCTCGGCACTTGTGCCAGTGGTTGTATACGTTGTTGCTGTATACTTTATTTATAGTGGAAATCAAAACAGGTATGGTGCCTAAAAAGTAATAACAATGGACCCACTGTGTGGTTGAGAGACTTATCCACTCACCCCCACCGTTAGGCGCTGGGAATGATGCCGCTAGGGTTTACCGGGTGTTAGCAGCCGTCGTAAGTTCCCTTCGGGAACGGACACGATAATTTAGTAAACTTACTCTCTTTAAAAATAAAGAGGATCATAAGTTTACAAGTAAGTATATATCAGTTTTGTCAAACACTAACGGTTATAAGCAGAATGCTGTTGACGAGTGTTGAGTACAAAAAATACAACAATTAGCACAGTGATGAGATACTGACATTCAACGTCCTGATGCTTAGCTGCATCACGTCTAGAATTTTTTTCCTACTTTTTATCTACCGGTGTTCCGGAATTCTGCTGACTCATCATTATGACTTCTCAGTTTCGCAAAACATCTTTCCTGGCTGACACATTTATATTCTATGGTTTCCAAATGATAATTCCAAATGATCCCGCGGATGCAGATATGCTGCAGTACTCTGCTACTCGGTGGTAGAGTGCCTGCGCACAGCGCTGGCGGGGTATCGACCGTGATCTACTGTCTGTCCTGCTTACCTGTTCAGCTCTGCTCTGTGATCTGCAGGCCATGATGACCTTGGCCCCCATCCTGGCCAGGGCTTTCGTAGTCTCATAGCCCGTACCGGAGTTAGCACCGGTTACGATTGCAACACGACCACTCAGCTCAGGTCCATTGTAGTGTACGACAAATTAGCGCCCATAGCTCGATTTCTGGCGAGCTAGCGAGCAACAGCATCTGCAGAGGGAATTACGTCAGGCGCAACTACAGACTGTGCCTATTTGTGGGGGCCTTTCCTGCTGATCTAACTCAGGCGCGTACGCAGGGGGGGTTTCCCGTTGCCCGGAAACCCCCCAAATGTTCCAAACGAGCAACGTTTTTGGGCATTTTTGGTAGGGCGCATGATCGATCTGGCAAGAATGCAAAACTTCAAAAGATCGTAACTCAGTCAAATCTCGCTCAAATCCAACGATCCAAATATCCAGGTCGAATAGAAACCTCTCAGCTGTCGGTAGAAATAATTTGCGAAGCGCTGCGAGCAATGTATCGTGAGATACATCATTCGTAAGTTGAGCCGCGATCTCGGCAATTTCAAAAGCGCGCAGTGCGACTTGAGTATCGAGAATTTGAGATTTTCGTCGCGCTGATTAGCTCAAATTTGCAGGGGCTTCACTTGTGATATTTTCAAGAGTAGACAGCAAAAAATCGAAAATCTGCGATCAAGAAAAACGAAATCGCTGGAGCAGGATGCGTTTGAGCCTGTTTGGGGCATTTTCGCACTGTCGCTGCACGCTACCGCTATAGCCTATAGCGCTGGATATGTGCATGACTGTACTGTGTCCTGGCTATCATGGTCGACCTCATTCTCTCCCTGGTACCTTTCCACTTCCAGGAAGCCCAAGATAATGAAGATTGAGTGAGTAGAACTGAAGTTCTGTTCCAAACAACACGAAAAAATGCATAATTTTGAAATTTTCCTAGGGCTCTTTTAGAAAGGGTTAAAACTTAAAACTCATTGTTTGGGATTCGGTTGGAAACCCCCCTAGAGGTGACCCTGCGTACGCGCCTGTAACTTCCCCGTATGGTGGGACTGCAGCTGAGGCCGTGAGAGATTGCCGACCGTCTCACCGTTGCTCCATGCGTGACTTATTTCCGACTCAGCCTCGGACCTTTCAAAACTAGTTACTTGCAAAAGGCCAACCCTGCAGATTTGTGACTGGTGAATGACAGCTAGTATGTATGTAGCAGCGATGTTTTTCGTCGTTCGTCACCTCCGGTAGTACTAGTACTAGTACTAAGTAGTAGATCTACATGACTGAGACGTAGTACTGAGTAGATCTACGAGTAGATCTACTACATATTATTAATATATTATTAATATTTTTCTGTACTCTTCAAGCTTCATTCAGATCATGGCATGCACTACAATACATGCGTGGAGCAGGAGTACTGTAGCGTTGCCGGAGTTGGACCGGCTAGCGCGTTTGCCTTCTTTGGTGCTTGATTTTGTTCCTGCCGGCTCGTAGATCTACTCGTCTATGTACATTTTTTCATAATCCGACGCCAATGAGGCGCCGGATCCTATCGCACCCCGCGAAAAGCGAAAATTGTAAACCCATCTTTCAGTTTGTTTGTTTCATTCAAACCAAATCAAGGAAGGCTACAGTAGGCTCAGTGGGTGGATATTTCTCCCAGATAAATACCAGGGAGTAGTACAATACTACTCCCTGATAAATACTATCAAGAGTCCATAAACACACTCTTGGTACTAGACAGTAATTGGATAATACCATGAAGTCGTCCAAACGGCCTTGGTACTCCAGAAAGTCACCTGGTGCCTCATCACATGGCGGAAAGACCACGACCAGCTCTTCAAAGCAGACCCCGGAGAAAGGCGGACAGCAACAGGCCACGCTAGCGCGCTCTCCAAATTCTTCAACGTGAAGGTGAGCGGCATCCAGACGGGATTGGGACGTTGTGAAGTCTAGCTAGCAGTTCTGTATGCTTCTCGACCGTTCCTCTGTGATGAGTAGAGACTTGCTCGTGGGCAAATGGTGTACATCCTGTAGCGTTCATGTCGTTTTCGTGACTGAAAATGATTCCGGGAAAATCAAGCATAATAATTTTCGTGAATTCGAACAGAAATATACCAATGCAGTACAGTTTGTACAACTAAGGCTGCGTTTACACGACAACGCACGGCCAGTTTTCCGTTTTCAGTCCCGCATTTCTTTTTTCGTTTTCGTGCGTTTACACGATCAAAGCTGATCCGAGGTGGTCTCCGTTTGTATCGTTTTCGCGCGTCTACACGGGACGTGACGGGAGCAAAGGATCCGCAAAAGTTCGTCATGTGCCAAGTGTTGTCGTGGAAGCACCAATCACACTCAAGCAATAATTGAGAACAGGCCACAAAACAACACTCGTCACATGGGCCACAACCAGCTAAAACATGTCTTAGGGTGAAATTTTTCAAATTTTGTTTTCCTCCAGAAAACAGTTCTTGGGACCTTACTTGAAGTTGAAGGTGATACAGGGCAGAAAAGTAGTCTACAAGTGCCCCAAACACCGCTTTCAAAATATGTACTTTGAAATAGAAAATGACAGTTTTCGCACAGTCTGACACAAAGAGACAAACTATTACTTAGTGGCTTTTGTGGCGGAGCACAATACAACGGAACTAAAGATGTTGACACCGACTTGAGCATGTCAACGACATCAGTTCAAAGGCATGGCCCAAGTTCTTCTTGGAAAGCAACACGATGCGCTGGGCGGCGTTGCACTTGCATACTCTTTCGATTCTGGCAGTGACACTTTCGATCGTCGCCTGCGTTTCCGAGACTGCGTCAGACGCCTCATGAGAGCTGAACGCAAGTAACGTCGTAAGGCAGCCGTTTCGCCGCCTAAATGACTATGTACTAGCCCACAACTTGTGCCTCTTCGCTACTGGAGACGACGGGGACGATTCAGCTTCGCTGTCGACATCAACATCAATGAGATCCCAACAAATTGTCAGCGTCGCTCTGCAGGCCCGCCGCCACGGACTTGCAGACACCTGAACAAACCTGGGCCATGCACAGCGATCGTCTGGCCCTGCGAGCTGCTCTAGTATCACTAGATGCGGACATTGTCAGTCTTTGCTCGCCAGCTACTTGAAGTAGAACGCCAAACAAGTGTTTGAACAAAATTTGAGAAGATGATCGCCACATCATGAATCATTTTGAATGAAGTGCAGATCAGAGAGTGAACGCGCTCCAAAAAACATTTTTTTCATTTCGTCATTTCCCAACTTTTTTACGAAACCCCAAAGACATGTTTTAGCTGATCGCGGCCCACATGATGAAAATTATAAAAACAATTTTTTGGATTGTCGGATCCGTGTAAAACGGCCGAAAACGAAACACACGTGCCGGAAAACAAGGCCAGCATACCGTTTCGACTATTTACACACCCAAATTTATCTGGCAGAGCATTTCCATTTTCAAATTCTTCCACCTTGGCCAGCGTTTTGGTTTTCTTCCGTTTTGGTGTACAACTTTTACGTTTTGCTCTTTGTACCGTGTAAATGAACCATGCATCCGAAAGGATTTTCTTGCGTTTTCACCCCCAGCGTTGTCGTGTAAACGCAGCCTAAATCCATGCTTCGATTCGGCCGAGTGAATGAGGTCGCGCTCAGTCGTGCTCTGGCTCAGATGAGTATGTAACTCCTAAGCTAACTGCACTGGTTGTGCATGTCAGCAGATGTGCAACAGAAAGCCATAGAGGAAACACGTGCTTGTGCGTCTTGTACATCTCATGTGTGTGTGCGTGTGTGTGCGTGTGTGTGCGTGTGTGTGTGTGTATGTGTGTGTGTGTATGTGTGTGTATGTGTGTGTGTGTGTGTGTGTGTGTGTGTGTGTGTGTGTGCACGCGTGCATATGTGTACTTGAATGCTCATGTCCACGCGCATGCACTCGTCATTTAGCATCTGCAGAGCTTGCACCCGCCACGCTGACTCGCCTGCAGCGTTTCCAGCAGTGCATGCCATTGCAAAGCGGCGCATCGTCCACCACATCGGCATCCTCCTCCAGCTCCAGTTCCAGCCGTGCTTGCCAGCAGGCCGCATGTGCTAAAGGCTCAAGCCTACGGCTGTCTGGTTCACTGGAGGCTGGCGCGAGTGACGGCAGAGCTGATGATGTAGTGGAGAGCCCTACCCGTGCTGCTGCTGCTGCTGCTGCTACTGCTACGACTGTTACCTGTACCGGTGGTGATGATGATGGTGGTGATGATGATGGTGGTGATGATGATGGTGGTGATGATGATGGTGGTGATGATGATGATGATGACCTGGTGTTGGTGAGCTCGACCACGCCGCGAAGTCGATCGCAGCCAGTGGCCTCTCCTCCGGCCAAGCGTGTGCGGCGGCCAGCTTCATCTGCATCGTCGTCGTCGTCAACGTCGGATATCAAAGGTGGGAGCGATACGCGTGTCAAGCGTGTGTGTGTGTGTGTGTGTGTGTGTGTGTGTGTGTGTGTGTGTGTGTGTGTGTGTGTGTGTGTGTGTGTACAGTACAGTCTATGGCCAAAGAACTGGGAGGGGGTCAGCCTAGTCCTAGCCTAGACCGTTCTTATTTTCATGTATTACAGTCTATGCACTGTTGAGTCACCGTGTATACATTGGTATGCTGTGCTTGGTGAAATTCTAGCCTGGTCGGTCTTCGGTGCCCGGCGGTACTGTATGCATGCACCCAATTCCCAATCTCCTAGTTTGGGATGCAGGAGTTACAACTCAATGTGTCGTGTACTAGAACGTCGGGCTGTGTTCTATCACGCGCACACATTAATTTAGAAACCTGGCCAGATTATGTAAAACCTGGCTAAAAAGCAAATTCCTTTGTGCTTGGCTTTTCCGCTCTTGAATGTACTCGTATGCAGGGAACTTCACTCTGGTCTTCAAGGAAGAATGTGTAATTGTTGAATGTTTCTATCAGTTTACGTGTATGCGCATACTCATCTCTCCTGTTGTTGTTTTTGTGTTTGTTTGTTGGCAGCTTCCATTGTCGCATTTTAGTCCCCCGCCAGTCACGTTTCCACGCCGGTGTCTTCAAGGACGCTATTGTCTCCGTCCTCGGTATCATCACGGCTGACCTCTTCACCATCGTCCAGCAGCTGTGCTAAGGGTTCGCCGTACACACCGCTTGAGAAGCAGTACATGGCAATACGCGACGCGAACCCCGGCGTACTGCTCATGGTCGAGTGCGGGTACAAGTTCCGCTTCTTTGGCGAGGATGCCGAGGTAGGGTGCTCGTCGGCGAGCGTTTCTACGTGTGTGAGCATGCTATGTGCTACAGTAAGAGATGAAGAAACAGGCAGACAGAGACAGATGGACAGACAGACAGAGATGGACAGACAGACAGACAGACAGACAGACAGACAGACAGACAGACAGACAGACAGACAGACAGACAGACAGACAGACAGACAGACAGACAGAGAGAGAGAGAGAGAGAGAGAGAGAGAGAAAGGGGGGGGGGGAGAGATGAGAGAAAGAGGGATAAATGAGAGAAAGAGAGAGACAAAGAGAGATGGTTGGTTGGTTGGTTGGATTTATTTAAAGTCGTACAACAAACAGGCATATCTGCCTCCTTATATGAAGACGACATCTGGCAGTAAAACATTTTAAAGAAAAGAGAAAGGAAAAAAAAAGAAAGAAAAAAAAAAGAAGAAGAGAAGATCAAGAATGTATACTGAGCATACAGCTAGCCGGAGACTGAGCACAGCTAGCCTCGGCATGTATCAGAGCATCAGGATTACTACAATACTACTAGTACTATACTCAAGATAGGGGAGGGGGGTTGCTGTCATGCTACAGTAAGACAATACGCGTGCAACACACCCTTGAACTGGAGGGGGGACATGATGTTTCTCGCATCAGGTGGAAGACTGTTCCGAACGCGTGCAGCAGAAAGAGACACGGGATGAGTTCTGGATGGAAGCTGCAGCAGATGTTGTTGGGAGCCGCGCGTTTGGCCAGCCCTAGTCGGAGTGACGAAATCTCCAAATAATGCGCTGATCAGCGGCTGCTCCATGGTGGAATGTAGGCATCGGTAGACCAGCGAGCACACTGTCTCACGCAAGAGCTGGTGTACACGAAGCAGGTTGTGTTCCGCATACACGGGAGTCATACGGGTACGGGAGGTAAGGTTGTACACGGCTCGCAGGGCTAGGTTGCATAGGCGTTGAAGTCTCTCTTGATGAGATAAGATGAGAAGCCCAAGAAACGAACAAGGCAGTCGTGGCTGTGAGGGCCGGGGAACGTTTCGCCCTATATTGATGCTTAGATTCCTTCTGTCTTAGAAGTTGTTGTCTTATTACTATTCTGCTGGTTTGGGTGCAATGTTGCCTTCTCACCTAGAGGGTGTATATTTAGCTGCTGCAGTTTCACTGGAAAAGATCGGCTTGTGAATTGGTATGATAGTTCGTGGGAATCCAGTTCCATCTCTGTGTGATATGTTTAGTTGTCCTTGCCCATCTGGCTGGCCGCGTTGTGATCCCTCTACAAAAGGTTGCGTGGCTTGTCTATCTACCATTCTATTTTTCATCCGTCTGTCCGTCTGTGTGTGTGTGTGTGTGTGTGTGTGTGTGTGTGTGTGTGTGTATGTGTGTCTCTCTCTCTCTCTCTCTCTCTGTGTCTGTCCGTCTGTTTGTGCGTATGGTATTTGTCTGCTGCACTGCTTTCAAGTTTGTGTGTTTGTGTCAAGTTTCACCTATCCTTCCGCCTGTCTGTGACATCTGCTATTGCTATCGGCATGCAGGTTGCAGCTCGTGTTCTCAACATCTTCTGCCACCCGATGCACAACTTCATGAACGCCAGCATACCCGTGCAGCGGCTGCCTGTTCACGTGCGTAGGTACGGTTAGAACTGCTGTGCTCGCTTGTCTCTCGTCGTCTTTGGCGTGTAGGCCCGGCGGAACCGGTCCGGTTGGTCTGGCCATGGCTGGACCAACGTTTTGGTCAGGCCATGGTTGGACCAACGTTTTGGTCAGGCCATGGCCAGGCCAACGTTTTGGTCAGGCCATGGCTGGACCAACGTTTTGGTCAGGCCATGGCCAGACCAACGTTTTGGTCAGGCCATGGCCGGGCCAACGTTTTGCCCACCAACGTGTGTTTACTGCTGAGAAGGTCATGTGTATACCCTCCATATCATACACAAACTGTATGAAAGTCATGTGACTACCCTTCATATCATACACAAAATGTATGAAAGTCATGTGTATACCCTCCATATCATACACAAACTGTATGAAAGTCATGTGTATACCCTCCATATCATACACAAACTGTATGAAAGTCATGTGTATACCCTCCATATCATACACAAACTGTATGAAAGTCATGTGTATACCCTCCATATCATACACAAACTGTATGAAAGTCATGTGACTACCCTCCATATCATACACAAACTGTATGAAAGTCATGTGACTACCCTCCATATCATACACAAACTGTATGAATGTCATGTGACTACCCTCCATATCATACACAAACTGTATGAAAGACTAGGGTATGGTCGGATCAATCAAAAACTGCTTGCGTCGGTCCTCTGGTGTCAATAACCGTGCGCGCATGTTTGTTTCTTTAGCTGTATTTACTTCACCACGGGCACATGCAGTATCTGCCTTCTCACTGAGCGTATTGCCACAGTTCTCGCAAGAATAATGAACTGTGTGTGTGTGTGTGTGTGTGTGTGTGTGTGTTTGTATGCCTATCTTGTTCAGGCTGGTAATGGCAGGTTACAAGGTGGGCGTGGTGCGGCAGGTGGAGAGCGCGGCACACAAGGCACTCAGTGACAAGAAGGGCGCGCCGTTTGAGAGGAGTCTAAGCGAGCTGTACACGCGAGCAACACTTATCGGTGAAGATATCCTTCTTGTTCTGCTCTTCCCCCCCCCCCCCCCCTCTCCCTCGTCTCAGGGTCCCGGTCACGCTCCTACCCCGTCGTGTATACTGTGCCCTTCCTCATCCTGGGTTCATGAATATCGGGACACAGTTTGTTTGCACTGGCGTCCATGTACTGTTCTGCCAGCAGAACACTACTCTTGTCTTGAGCCATGCATGACCAACTAATACTTCAAACCTTTAAAGGGGAAGTTAAGGCAAAAATTAAAATTTCACCAGTTGTAGTCTTCGGGGTGCTGAGTCGAATGGTCTTGGTCCGAGAAAGCTGAGACGCTCCCTTCCTACTTGAATCCCAATCGAACTCGCGCACTTTCACCGAAACTGGGTGACTGCGCCCTACTAGATGGGGATTTGTATGCAAAATGTCACTAAAAGCGCCATTTCGTTCTTATAAAAGCACGGATGACCGCGATTGGCCCATATGTTGTAGCCTTTTGGACGCTGAGTCGACTGGTTTTGGTCCGAAAAGGCTGCGATGCAGCGTTCCTCCTTTATTCCCAATCGAACATGGTTGACTGACAAGTGGTCACGTGCTCCTGGGTGCCCAAATCACCTGGTCACCACGCCAGCAGGCGACAACTTTCACACCAAGGTTCAACTCGAGTGACAGGACTGCACCCAAAAAAGGTCAAACAGGCTAGTAAGTTGTACCCTGCAGGCACGGTGACCAGGTGACTGGTGTACGCAGGAGCACGTGACCGCTTGCTCAACCATGTTCGATTGGGAATAAAGGAGGAGCGCTGCATCCCAGCCTTTTCGGACCAAAACCAATCGACTCAGCGTCCAAAAGACTACAACATATGTGCCAATTGCGGTCATCCATGCTTTTATAAGAACGAAATGGCGCTTTTAGTGACATTTTTCATACAAATCCCCATCTAGTAGGGCGCAGTCACCCAGTTTCGGTTGAAGTGCGCGAGTTCGATTGGGATTCAAGTAGGAAGGGAGCGTCTCATCTTCCTCGGACCACGACCATTCGACTCAGCACCCCGATGACTACAACTGGTGAAATTTTGATTTTTGCCTTAACTTCCCCTTTAACAGCGTACATGTATTCATGTGGAATTATCTTGGAGACAAAACAAAGGATGGAAATAAAGGAGCAGCAGTGGTGAGGCTTCCTGTAGCTTCATTTATAGGATGGCATGTCTAAGTTGGCGGAGGGCAGAGAAAAGTAGACGGACGGTTATCCCACAATGTTATAAGTAAGATTAGGTGTGCCGTCATTAGTGACTCATCACGAAACACAAGGAAGTCCAATGTAAAGCAACCGTAACCTTTTCTCGTGACAATCATAGCCTTGATTGAATATTACTGTCTCGCGTTGCTTGTTTGTTATCCTATACAAGTAAGTTCATATCTGCTTGTCTGTCACCTGCACACTTGTCCACGACTATATCGTTGTGGAAGTACGGCTGTGCAGTCTAGCAGTGCACGATGGGCGTCATTATCAAGAAAGCTTGCCTTTAAGCTGCATGCTAGGGCCACATCACTCTCCTTTTCGAATCTTGCTAGAGACCTGTTGTTGACTTTCTCATGGTCCTTGTCCATTCCCAGTACATGTACAGGGGTACTCCTTGACCAGTATCGTCCCAGTACAGTTTGACTCGCCACTACCCAATCAAACGTATAACAAGAACACAACAAAGGCAGTGTCACCGCGATCAGCAGGAGCAGCAGCATCGTCGTCGTCGCTAGACCGCTATGCTGCTTCGCAGAACGGCAGTGCCGACGGTGAACACGATGTTATCGGTTCTGGTGATGATGTCATCACTGCTGCTGGCGGCGACGGTGGTCACATGGCTGGCGATGGCTTCGGCGTCGGAGCTGCTGATGGCCAGGCATCGGCTGCTGAGGCATGGTCGAGTACGACCGATAGCTTCATGTTGTTCATCGTTGATGCTGCCAGAGAGGATCTAACTGCGGAGGTGTCTACAACATCCCGTGACCACCAGCAGCAGCAGCAGCGGCGGCAAGAGGCTTCTGCAGAGCACGTGGCAGTTGTAGTAAGTATCATAATAAGTTTTGAATGATATCATATTTTCTGGAGTATAAACCGTACCTACTCGTAGTGTTGTGGGTGGTCTCCTACGTTTCTCGTTGTAGTTTTCTCCAGTGCCGTCGTGTACTGCAGCGGTTGAGTCTTTATTTACTTGTTTAGGAAGCCTCCCCACTTTTACTTTGTTTAGGGTCGTTTCTATATACAGTGAATCTATTGTGCCTTTGTGTGTGGCCTATGTCTTTTTGCCTTTCTGTACTCTGTCTGGTATGTGTGGTTATGTTTTTGTTGGTCTGTCTCTGTCTCTCTCGCTCTCGCTCTCTCTCTCTCTCTCTCTCTCTCTCTCTCTCTCTCTCTCTCTCTCTCTCTCTCTCTCTCTCTCTCTCTCTCTCTCTCTCTCTCTCTCTCTCTCTCTCTCTCTCTCTCTCTCTCCCTCCCTCCCTCCCTCCCTCCCTCCCTCCCTCCCTCCCTCCCTCCCTCCCTCCCTCCCTCCCTCCCTCCCTCCCTCCCTCTCTCTCTCTCTCTCTCTCTCTCTCTCTCTCTCTCTCTCTCTCTCTCTCTCTCTCTCTCTCTCTCTCTCTCTCTCTCTCTCTCTCTCTCTCTCTCTCTCTCTCTCTCTCTCTCTCTTTCTCTTTCTCCACCACCTAGGCCGTACAACCAGCGACAGGTGATCTTGTCTACTCAGTGTTTGCAGACGATACGTCGCGCACTCAGCTGCTCACACACCTTGCTCACATCGTCCCCTGCGAGCTCATCATTCCTGCAGACCTCGGTGCAAGGAGTAGAGCTGCCATTGCATCTTATTGCAGCAACAGGTACATATACACTTCATGTACTGGTAATACGTATTAATACGCCCCCAGGGTTCTAGCAAGGTCAAAATAAGTAGGGGGGGGGGGGGGCAGGGGAAGCGGTTACCCCGTGACGCAGTTTTCCATTTTCCAAATTTGTCTTGCCATATAAAAGGCAACGTACGGGGCCGAACCCCTGATTTCTCCCCAGACTAAATGTGCTTTTGTGAATCCTCTAGTAATGGCTGTTGACTGTATTTTCGTTGAATGGCATGAGCAAACATGAACATCGACAAATCAGTGGTGGTGGGTGGGGGGGGGGGGGTGGCACTTTTTCACTGGGGGCACTCAATCAGAGTAGGAGGGCGCTGCGCCCCCTTTGTCTATAACCCTGGGCCCCCTTCGGCTGGTGATAATTCCACCCCAGTAGTGGAAACTGCTAATTTTGTTTTGCGAAAGGAGTGATTCTGCTGAAGTTGAGTTGCGCCAATCGAAAGTTTGCATTCTGTGTAGTATGCGGAATACATGTTCATGTTTTCTGGATACCCAAGTTATGGGCACTTCGGTCTTCCAGCCATTTTTTGGGCCAGTGGAAATATTACTACTCCTTTGTTACTCTCTCTCTCTCTCTCTCATCTGTGATGTATTTCCTGAACCACTAGCTAGCTGGGTGTTCTGCACTCTTGATGTTCGGAATGTCCTCAGCATTTTATCGTGTCTCCCATATGGTCTAGTGGTTAGGATTCGGCGCTCTCACCGCCGCGGCCCGGGTTCGATTCCCGGTGTGGGAACATTTCTTTTTTTAATGATCTTTTGCATTATGTCAGGAAGGTGGATATTGAAAAAGACTTTCATATTTACAAGCAGCAATGTAAAGCCGAGACTCATTCACAGTACCACTTTTTGCGACGCGACATGCGCCATAATTATAATACAACACTCGCGGCAAGAAAATGCCTGCCGCGTACTGTCGCAAGGCCACAAGTGGACCAAAGTGCGACTTTTGCGAAATTCATCATCGCAAGTCGCATATCACATCACAGAAAGCGGTATTCTGAATGGGCCTTTAGGTGTTATTGAAGGAGTCCTGCAAGAGGAAGAGTTTTTAGGGTGTTTTCTTGAATTTTCTTGGAAAAGGTCGTGATTCTGCTAAAATTTGGAGAGGTGTTCCGCTAATATCCTTTGTGAACTTTAGGAGATTCTCCGAAATTCTCCAAGATCCCCGACCTTGAAAGGTGGTTGAAAGATTCCCGTATTTTGGGTCAGCGCGTGCAAACTACTGCAAGATCACGGCCTCTTCGGCGCTTCTCATGTGCGGAAAATCTTCGACACCTGCTCCTAAATTATTCCAATTTCTTCGACTTCCAGGACATAATTTCTCCGAGAAGCGAGAGAACATTCGACCGCACTCTTTCAGTACATGGAGGGCGAAGAAAAGGTCGAATTATTAACTCCCGAGGCTGCAGAATGTAAACAAGTTGCTGGAGTTGAATTGTATGTATGATGTTAAGCGCCGGGTGTTCAGGTTGAGTGCAATGGCGCTACGGCTATGCCTTTGGGAAATCCTTTTAAAAATAATAAATACAATACAGTTTCCTCTGAGACAAAAATGCGATAATACTCATAAAAAGGACACACTTCAGGCTCATTACAAATAGTGTTGAAACGAGCGTATCTATAACAAACGAGCGATCGGTTCCACTAACGAGCAAGCTATCGAGCGAGCTAACGAGTTTCATTGATGTGGCAAATATGTTTTTTTGAATATTTTTTTCTAAGTTAGATGTTTCAGCTGGTACAAATCATCACCACCGGCATTTGGGATTGCTGCTGCTTCACTTCGGACTGCTGTTTGGTGTCGAGATGTCTTTTCAGCGCCGTCGCTGAGTAGCCTTTGTAAGAATAGACCGTTTTGCAAAGATTGCAAGTAGCCCTGGTCTTCGCTGCATCGCGGGAGAAAACTTCCAAACGACTGAGCGTAACTTTCACTCGAATGGAGAGGTGACCGAAGCATATCCTGCGACAGGTCAGCAGATGCGGAACAAGACATCAGTAGAGTCCACCAAAGCTGCAACGACAACTGAAACAACTCAAATGTCGTGCAGGCATACAGTCACCGTAACTGCGAGTGATTTTCACTTTGCGCGGGACTGGACTGTCGATCGACCAGGGAGTCGTAAAATATTTTACGACTCCCCAGTACAGTCGACATGTACTGCCATGTGTACGGAGTACGGTGTTCGTTAGTGCAAACGAGCTGGCCGCACAAACGAGCCGAGTTTCTGGCGAGCGACCTAACGAGTATCCGGTGAGATCGTTTCAACACTAATTACAAACATCTTGAAAGTATACTTGTGAAGACAAAAACTTTCAAGATGTTTGTAATGAGCCTGAAGTGTGTCCTTTTTATGAGTATTATCACAATACAATACAATACATCATTAAGTACGGTATAACACGTTATTTTTGGTGTAATTTTAATTTCGGTAGAGAAGCCATTCACCTAAATTTACATTACACCTAAAAGGCGCTAGAGTACACACTACATGCAGTGAAGGGTAGGCTGGTCACCTACCACTAGAGTACACATTACATGCAGTGAAGGGTAGGCTGGTCACCTACCGGTAATTCTACATTACACCTGAAACCTGGCCGGCCCCCGGCACGGAAATTTTAAGACGCCTAAAAATTTATATGTGAGACAGTACAGTGTAGATGAAGTGCATGTGTTGGATGCCGGGCAGGCATTCTCATTGTTTAGACATGCATGTGTTGGATGCCGGGCAGGCATTCTCGTTGTTTAGACGTACAGTCAGACCTCGCTTATCCCGTCCTCTTTTATCCGGATCCCTCGCCATTCGGAGGAAAATCGTTGGTTACCGATTTACAGCATATGCGATGCATGCATACAGTATGTGTGTTTGATAATCCGGTTCCCTCGCCTATCCGGATATTTTCGTGGAAAACGGATGTGTGCAGTTATGTGAAGGCTGACTGTATTGCTATCTTCTCTTTGTACATATGTTGACATGCAGGAAGTCTCAGGGTGATCTTATTCGTCTGGAGGAGGTGCCGACGGGGTGGAACGATTACGGCACCTCGCATGGCTGCCTTGCGGACTTCTATCAGCTGTCGGTCATCTCGTCGTCGGTAGATCAGCTTAGCGATGGAGAGAGTAGTAGCGAGGAGGACAACGATGACGGAGTTGTTACTGGTGAGGCCACCACCAGTGGAGTGGGGCTGCACCAGCATTCGCAGCATCGGCACGGCCATCCCTCAGCTCGTCAGCATGGTGGTGAGTGACAGGCCAGTGTGTGTGTGTGTGTGTGTGTGTGTGTGTGTGTGTGTGTGTGTGTGTGTGTGTGTGTGTGTGTGTCTGTGTGTGTGCGTGTGCGTGCATGTGTGTGTGTGTGTGTGTGTGTGTGTGTGTGTGTGTGTGTGTGTGTGTGTGTGTGTGTGTGTGTGTGTGTGTGTGTGTGTACGTGTGTGCGTTGTTCCCAATACTTAACATATGCGATATTCTTCGAACGACTCCCAGCCATGATCATCTTCAGAGGTTAGGAGGAATCAAAGGAATTGTTTGGTTTTGTTCACATCCAGGAGAACATTGGGAGTTTGTGAAGGAATTACCAAAGCCGGTCATTGTCTGCTTGGGAATATGTCTGCGACACCTGAAGCAGTTTAGACTGGCTGGTTGCCTCAAAGATACACGGTCAGTTTAGCACCATCTTGGGCTGCGCCTGTATGCCTGTCTGCCTGTCTGCCTGTATGCCTGTATGCCCGTGTGCCTGTCTGCCTGTATGCCCGTGTGCCTGTCTGCCTGTATGCCTGTGTGAATAGTGTTCTCCCCCTGGCCCCCGCCACACAGCAACGCAAACTCTTGATTGTATCTTCAATTCTTATATTATACCAACAAATGACGAGGGCGCAGGAGGAGGGAGACAAAAACAAGACTCGAGAAAAAGACAACGGAAAAGACACCCGGGAAAAGACACGAAGAATCAACCAAGAACAAGCAGTAATATTGCGACGACAAATCGGGACGACCAATCAGGGACTAATACTTACAGAACACATGACCAAGACCAAGACAACCAGACCCCGGACGAATCACACATGACTCTCATTCCCAGACCAAACTAGCACTGCGCATGTACAGCATTCACTTGACAGTCACTCTCACACAGACGGAAGCACATCCTCACACTCTGACAACGCGTACTCTTGCATGCACCACATACCATAAACGTCACACATCACACCATACTCGCACGTACACTTAGACTATCTCTTAATTTGCTGGCCAAAAATCCTATATATAGGATTTGAAAAGGTGTGCCTTTTATGCCGTTGTTAGTGGTCATCACGACCAATAATAATGGCATAATGGTTTTCATGGAAGTTGTAAATATGTTTGAGGCATGAATGTTTACATTTTAGATTCATAGGGTGATAATATTTCTGATGAATACCCATTTTCAGCAATAATTGGAAATTTGAGCATAATTGTTCAGCTGCTGTCATGGAAAGGACTGAGGCAGTGAATGTGCAGAAGAACATTGCAGGTGTGGTACGGGGTGGTTTCATGATGACATATCGCACATGCCGTCATGAAACTACCAGTTTTAAGGATAAAACAAGGTCCAATATAATCTCGAATCCTATATATAGGATTCGAAAAATAGGGCACAGGCCTTAGTAATATGGAGCAAGGAGATGAGCCTGAGATGTTAGTGTTTGAAAAAATTATCTTATTCAACTCTCGATATCTTCTAAGACCTAGCAAGAAAGAATTGGTCACATACTTTTTGCTATTCTCATGCCACACCCATTTTGAGTTGAAAAATATGACCAAAATGACAAGAACCAAATACAACAACATGCGTAAATCATAGTCGTAATACAATTTCGCAACATGTATGCCTGTGTGCCTGTGTGCCTGTCTGCCTGTATGCCTGTCCGTTATTCACAGTGTCCGTCCATCTCCCTTTTCGTCGATTGGTTCGTTTGTTTGTGAATAGGTGCAGTGATGCCATCCTGCGTCTATGAGTTGTGTGTGTTTGTGTGTGTGTGTGTGTGTGTGTGTGTTTGTCTGCATCTTCTCTCTCTCTCTCTCTCTCTCTCTCTCTCTCTCTCTCTCTCTCTCTCTCTCTCTCTCTCTCTCTCTCTCTCTCTCTCTCTCTCTCTCTCTCTCTCTCTCTCTCTCTCTCTCTCTCTCTCTCTCTCTCTCTCTCTCTCTCTCTCTCTCTCTCTCCTCTCTCTCTCTCTCTCTCACTCTCTCTCTCTCTCTCTCTCTTTCCCATCCCTCCCTCCTTCTCTTCCTTTCTTCCACAGGAACTTTGTTCAGTTCAGTAATACGAGGCAACATATGACGTTGACAGAGCAGTCTCTACGCAGCTTGGAGATCTTTGCCTATGGCTTTGGCCATGGGTAAGTATTGGCTGGCTGCATGCTTGATGCTACTTGAAGTCTTGTTTTGACAAGTTCTGCAGTTGGCTTCTTGAGTTTGCGCTTTCCGGGTATGTGCATGTGTTCATGGTTTTTTCCTTCTGTAAGTTTGTGTGTGTGTGTGCGTGCGTGCGTGCGTCCGTGTGTGCGTGTGTGTGGCTGGGCGGATATATGTTTGCAGGTGGACGGCGGTGAGCGTGGTAGTCTGTTTTCGACCATGGTCAGCACAAGCACTGCGTTTGGACGCCGTCTGTTCCCGTCAGTGGCTTGCAAAGCCACTGCTGAGGAGAAGGTACTGGGTTTTTTTTCTTCTCCTAGTGTCATCATTTGCGATTTGATCTCATTTGGCCGGACACGAGAAACGTGATATAGTGTAACTCATATAGTTCAGTACGAACTTAGAAGTTGCGACTTCGGCGGTGATCAGTCATAAAGTTGATTGCTCCAACGAGGAACACACGCTTCTTGCCCAATTTGACACTGGACACGGGAAGGTGCGATGTGCTCCTCGTGTGCTCGGGATGGCAGTCGTGAGTCAGTCCAGTTGTCAAATTCGGCTGGGCTACCCATGGCTGTAGACAGCCAGCTGTTTCGGTCATCTAGGCCTTATCAGTACAGCTATGCGCTTGCAGTAAGCTGAACTACTGACTGTGGTGCAAAGGTGGCAACACAGACATTTGGATAGCTCGTCGCTCTAGCGCCAAAGTGCTCCAACTACGGAAAGTAGTAAGCGATGGATAGCGGAGCAGCACTAAAGCAGCCTACCGAGAGTGCTCAACAAGACAAATGCCGAGGAGTGTAATACCCAGACTCTATGGTTGTCATGTGTGTCATTTTTTGTGCATAGTGTTTTGTGCATAGTGCAATTGTGGCTCGTCACGAGGCCGTGGAAGAGCTCTGTGCCAATTTCAAGTCCCCGTGTGTCAGGCAGTGCAAAGCGTTGCTCAGCCATTTACCCGACGTTGAGAAAGGCCTGGGTTCTATCGTGCATAAGAAGGTAGGCTTCTCTTACTGTCTTACTTCCGCCTCGCCCTATTCTCTCTTTCTCCCTCTCCCTCTCTCTCTCTCCCTCTCCCTCTCCCTCTCCCTCTCCCTCTCCCTCTCCCTCTCTCTCTCTCTCTCTCTCTCTCTCTCTCTCTCTCTCTCTCTCTCTCTCTCTCTCTCTCTCTCTCTCTCTCTCTCTCTCTCTCTCTCTCTCTCTCTCTCTCTCTCTCTCTCTCTCTCTCTCTCTCTCTCTCTCTCTCTCTCTCTCTCTCTCTCTCTCTCTCTCTCTCTCTCTCTCTCTCTCTCTCTCTCTCTCTTCTCTCTCTCTCTCTCTCTCTCTCTCTCTCTCTCTCTCTCTCTCTCTCTCTCTCTCTCTCTCTCTCTCTCTCTCTCTCTCACCCACGCACGCACACCCACACACACACTTGCACTTGTACTTGTACTTGTTGCTCACTGCCAAAACTGGTCACGTGGGTCTCCCCGGGAGAGGGGAGAGAGACTCAAAAGGAATCTTGGAAAGATGACTCAATTGGCTATTGAACCGCCCAACGGCCGACACCCCCTGAAATCCCCAAAACTTTGGTTTCCACCAATGTATGTGTTTACGTGTGTTTACATGTACTTGTGTGTGTATGTGTGTACATGTGCTGTCCAGTGTAGCACGGGTGATTTCTTCAGCACGCTGCAGGCACTGCTGTTGGCACGACGAGAAGTTCAAGCTGCCCAATGCGAAGCGTTGACTCTGCTGCAGTGCAGTCTGCTCTCTGAGGCTTTCAACGAGGTAATGACCCATGTATATGTACATGTACACTAACACTTCATTAGCAGAACTTAGAACTTTGAACTTAGAATGTACATGCAAGCGACATACAAATCTGTACCTTGTGCCCGAGGTACAGTATATCCAAAGTCAAATTACTGGCCAAGGATATGAAGGAGGGACCTTGAAACACTACTTTATATTCACTGCTAACTTCAACTGAGTGCTAAGTGAAGAAATTGTTATATCGTAAGTACCTTCAACCTGGCTTATCCAAACACTTTTGTCTTAGGGAAAGCTGTGTTGAAGACATGTTCTAAATATCGAGATCACCCGTACACCCTGTTTTTTTTGTAGCTGGGGTTATGTTAATTAGTCATGGTTTGGATAAATGGAGTTTGGATAAATGGAGTTTGGATAAATGGAGTGTGGATAACCGGGGCTCGGATTACCCGGGTAGGGCTGTACTTGACTTCTGACGTTTTTCTGTATCACTATTAGTAATTTTAAAAGTATTAGAAGCATTTTGGAAATCTGCGAACATCCTCTCATTTACCGTGTTTGCATCGCAGTGTTTCTATCCGACGTTGGTGTGTGGTGCGAGTGAAGTGTGCCATGCATTGTGCAGATCACCAGCCAACCAACTGAGAAAACCCCAATGCTGCACTGTCTTGTTGCATTTACTCTCACAGGTACCGGCTCTGCTGAGCGGGGTGCAGCGCTTCTTGGACTGCATGGATCCTGGTGCAGCGAGGTGAGGGTGATCTGAGCAGCTCAGTGTTGCTGAAATGTAGAAGACTGGAGCGCATTGCTGCATGGATTGCCTATGTCACAAAAAAAGGCTATGTGGTTGTGTTCAATGATGTAATGCTATGCATCATGGCATAGCTATCTGGCTGTGGTATGGTATTTGTATGTGTGTTCAATGATGGCTGACTGTCTCAGGGATATGAGGACCTGATGGTGGTGATTATGATAAGTGTACGCGTCTCGTTGGCTGAATATTTGGAATAAACGAGAAGCATTGTTCTTTCGAGTGACGAACACCTTTTTTGAACACCTTTTTTGTCTTGCAACCCTGCACTAGTTATGGCTGATGCGAGGTGTGAGAAAGAAGTGAATTTTTATCTCTCGCCGTCTCGTGCTGCTGCTTCATCTCCTGCTGGCACTGCTGCTGTTGTGTGTGTGTGTGTGTGTGCGTGTGTGCGCGTGTGTTTGTGTGTGCACGCGTGCGTGTGTGTGTGTGTGTGTGTGTGTGTGTGTGTGTGTGTGTGTGCACATGCACGCGTGTACATTCATGCGTGTGCAGGTCGGGCGACAAGACGGCGCTCTTCACTGATTTGTCCAAGTTCCCGGATTTGGCGGCGACGAAGAAGGTAGCTATCTCCTCGCTTCACTGAAGATTCTCGGAGTCACTGCATGTGTTCTGGCCACTGCATGTGTTCTGTGCACTGCATGTGTTGTGTGCACTGCATGTGTTCTGTGTACTGCATGTGTTCTGTACATGTAGTTGAAAACCCACAGTTCTGTTTATCCTGGATTTCCCTACCATGCACACACTCTTCAATTCCATTTTGTCATCGGAATCCTATTCCGTTGATTCCTCGGTGAAGGCAGAATTACTTATTCTCCCAGCATTGTTTGTACTGTTGGTGTCCTCTTTCTCTCTTGACTTCACGTGTATCTGCTGCATGCATGCAACTGATTTGTACGCAGAGTTGTATACGTGATCTCTTTCAATGGTTTCGTCGACTGGATCGGGAGTGCAGAGTTCATCTCACAGTCTCTTTCAGGAATGCATGTCTGCTTTTGCGCCTGATCTCGCACAACAGCTACACCCCGAGCATCACCGTCAGAGTCTGCTGAAACCAGTTTTGCATTCTCCTGTGCGGAACGGATCATGGTGTCTATATGTTGCAAAAGAAGGATCCACGAGCGGGATTCGAACCCAGCACCCCTGTCTTTCCGGGACAGTGCCCTACCGATTAGGCTACCGGGGATCACACACACTCATGGGTCCTTCTTGCTACACTGCTCCCCCGCCCCAACAGGCTGTGTCCTCACGCCGTACCTAGCTCGCGGGGGGTACGATGGGTCGTGGGTTCGAGCCATTGCCAGGCGCCAATGTTGCAAAAGAAGGATCCACGAGCGGGATTCGAACCCAGCACCCCTGTCTTTCCGGGACAGTGCCCTACCGATTAGGCTACCGGGGATCACACACACTCTTGGGTCCTTCTTGCTACATATATATGTTCACATGCATCTGCGTGTGTCCACGTGCAGGCTCTGAAGGATATTGACGACGAGCTGCTGGCGCATCGTCGCGAGGTTCGCCTAAAGCTTGGCATACCCGCTCTGGAGTACAAGACAGTGTCGGGCGATGACGTAAGCGAGCTCTTCTTTTGGCTGTAGTCATGACATCATGACATCATCATGACATCATGACATCATGACATGAGCCACAGCCAGCTAAAACATGCCTGGGGTGAAAAAATGTATTCCAGAAAAATGTCACTTTGCTCACCAGCTGCATGGAGTAGACCGCCGAATAAGTGTGAGAACGAAGTTTGACAAGATGCTCACGCCACCGGGTGATGAATGAAGCACAGCGTGAACGTGCTCAACAGAAACTATTCTTCATTCCGTCATGTCTCCGAAGATTTACGAACCCCCAGACATGTTTTAGCTGACTGCGGCCCACGCTACTCCTACTCACACACTTCCTTGTTGTTGTTTCATTGTTGTCATCTTCACTGCTACTGCCGCTGCCGCCACCACCATGCACCATGAGTTGTTGTCGTCATCGTGTTCATAATCATTGTTGTTGTTGTTGCTATTCTGTGCCACACAGTATCTAGTGGAGGTTCCTGGCAAGCTCCAACACAAAGTGCCACAAACTTGGGACAAGATCAACTCGTAAGTCCATAACCATAACATTGCGTCTCCTTTTCCAATGCATGTCAATGTCTTGCACTGCCATGCTAGCAATCCCAGAGGCCGGGGCTGGGGACAAGGGGTGGGGGCTTCTGTTCTTTCCAACATCTCCCTAATGGCATGGCACTATCAAAGAGAGATTTCTATTTGTTCATGAATGGCGGTGACAGGGTACTGTAAAAACCATAGTATAACGAAGTGCTAATTCTAACAAGTTAGCGAGGAGAAATCTGTTGTTAAAATATAAATCGTTGTACAGAAATCGATACATGTACTGTTCTATTAAGCGTTGAGAATGCGTGAGAATCGTTACCTTTGGTACACGTAAACCAGTCAATTTTACGAATTCGTTCTATATGCGCCTGGTTAGAATAATGGCTTTTTCAGTACTGCTCATGACCCAATACAGGTACTGGGATAGCCTGCGCTGCCACCGTCTGGCGCCTTTTCCGCCACGCCATGCTTCCACGAGTCGGCTGCACTGGACATTCTCTTTGCGTTAGACAATGATCTCGTAGTCGTACTTCTTCTTGTCAGTCGACTTGATGATCACACACCCCACTGACCTGCCAGTGTGATTTCAAACTGATTTGCCATGATTTTAAGCTACTGTGTGTCCGAGAAAAGAACGGCGAAATTTTGCCCATCCAATTTATTACCGGCCCACAGAGTTTCGATCATATATGATAATAATACATACAAGTACACACGTTATGCAGAGCTCACTGACTTGTCAGTTTGAGCACTCTGGCAAGGTACGTTCGGGCCTGGTTTAAATCTGGCTTTGGAAATTTTATTTTCATTGCTATCAGGTTCGGCCTCATTTCCTCTGTGCTGCGCTGATGAGTTCACAAAGAACGAAACAGCATGCTGTCCGCAGATTGAGTACGAGTACACTCATATATGCCTCGTTTATCCGGGCAGTCTGGGATCGGGCACTACCCGTAACTTTGAAATGTCTGGAACTCCGAATCACATACATTTTGATGGGGAAAGTCCATAGATGTGGCCTATGACGTCACGAAAAGTGACAACAGAGTAGTAATATTTCCACTGCAACTCGCCCAAAGGGTGCCTGGTAGACTGAAGTGCCCGACACTTCGGGGTCTGGACAGCCGAGGGGTGAGTGCACACACGTACAGCTCGCATCTTCCCTGGACCTGCTGGACTGGAACGGGGTTCAGTTCAACAGTGTCAAGCTAAGCGTGTCTGTCTCCCGCCGCTTGGAGAGCGCTCTCCGCAGAGAGATCTGTGCTGCCCCAGGTCGTGTCCAATCATATCTATCCACAGCAAAGGCAGTCCCCCATCCCCCCCCCCCCCCCCCCATTCACTTGAGTACTCATAATATATGGGGAGAGGGGGGGGGGGGGGGACTGTTGGGAATGGGTTATTACTCACCAATCTCCATGCATCCCTTCACTGTCTATTCAAGCGAGGGGGTATTTATATCAGTGAGATTCCCGACTGCTCGGACTGGAGGTCTTATGGCACGTTGTAGTGCATACAGTGCATTCAATCATGCATTCAATACTCACTTCTTCTCGTGTTGTACATGTATGCGACTCGTGTCCTGCACTCTCTTTCATCTCGTTGGTTCGCTCCCTTGCAGGACGAAGCAAGCGGGGCGCTATCGCAGCCCATTCATCGTGGAGCGGCTCAAGACGCGTGCGCTGCTGCGTGAAACGCTGTCGCAGCAGTCACACACCGCCTGGCAGCTGTTCCTCGGGTGAGAATATCCCTGAGTGTCCTGCACTTTGTCCTGCACTGTGTCCTGCACTGTGTCCTGCACTGTGTCCTGCACTGTGTCCTGCACTGTGTCCTGCACTGTGTCCTGCACTGTGTCCTGCACTGTGTCCTGCACTGTGTCCTGTACTGTGTCCTGTACTGTGTCCTGTACTGTGTCCTGTACTGTGTCCTGCACTGTGTCCTGTACTGTGTCCTGCACTGTGTCCTGCACTGTGTCCTGTACTGTGTCCTGTACTGTGTCCTGTACTGTGTCCTGTACTGTGTCCTGTACTGTGTCCTGCACTGTGTCCTGCACTGTGTTCTGTACTGTGTCCTGCACTGTGTCCTGCACTGTGTCCTGCACTGTGTCCTGTACTGTGTCCTGTACTGTGTCCTGCACTGTGTCCTGCACTGTGTCCTGCACTGTGTCCTGCACTGTGTCCTGCACTGTGTCCTGCACTGTGTCCTGTACTGTGTCCTGTACTGTGTCCTGTGCTGTGTCCTGTACTGTGTCCTGTACTGTGTCCTGCACTGTGTCCTGCACTGTGTCCTGCACTGTGTCCTGCACTGTGTCCTGCACTGTGTCCTGTACTGTGTCCTGTACTGTGTCCTGCACTGTGTCCTGTACTGTGTCCTGCACTGTGTCCTGTACTGTGTCCTGCACTGTGTCCTGCACTGTGTGCTGCACTGTGTCCTGCACTGTGTCCTGCACTGTGTCCTGTACTGTGTCCTGTACTGTGTCCTGTACTGTGTCCTGTACTGTGTCCTGTACTGTGTCCTGTACTGTGTCCTGTACTGTGTCCTGTACTGTGTCCTGCACTGTGTCCTGTACTGTGTCCTGTACTGTGTCCTGTACTGTGTCCTGTACTGTGTACGTACTGCTGTGTGCATCTGCAGTTGTGCTCAGTGAAATCCAACCCAAAATGTTTGTTAAGAACTCAGATGGTGAGGCAAGGAAAATATTTGTAACATGGAAATTGTGGGCACAAGTTATGCGATCGAGTCCACTGACTAAACCGGATTTCGAGCAGTCAGACGTGCACAATCTAGCACAAAACTGACAAGGAGTACTGAGACATTCCACGGCATCAAAGTGTGTCTCTTTTTTTAAATTATTATTATTACGCACAGTCATGTGGCGTTAGCCAATATAAATATGATGTGGGCGATTATAACCAGCCATGGTATTGTTAGCTGCTCCCGGCTAATGATGCCCCCTCACACCGGAACACAAGGGGTTTATATGATTGGATAATTTATAGAAGTATTCGAGAAGAGTGTAGACAAGGAGAACAGGACAACGACAACTCAAGACTAGACTACTCTAGAACAGAACAGAACCTGGAGCATGCGCTCTTCTATGTGAGTGGCTCATTGCCAAGGGGAACGAGCGGGAAATACGAATAGTAAGTATGTGAGTATACAGGTCGTAGCATACATACACCTATTACACTGTGCCCCCCTAGCTAAAATTCACGTCCACGGGAATGAACGAAATACCTAGGAAACAAACAAAAGAAAACAAACCAAATAATAAACTCAGTCCAGGACATAGTCAGCTAGTCGAGCAGGTGCAGTGCGGACACGGCCAGAACGACGCGGAACAGGAGAAGAAGTACGGACCGGATCAGACGACGGCGGCTGTAGCGGTGGAAAATCATCATCGGACAGTGTAATCGGGTCAGGACGAGAAGCAGTAACGGCAGGCGGTTGACAGTCGGGAGGACGGGAAGCGGCTTCAGGCGGACGAACAAACTTGCCACTGGCAGCATTATATCGGGTGAAACACTCAGACAGAGCAGGATCAGCATACGGAGCAAGAAGACTCTGAGGCTTGAAACAATCAGGTGACGACGGTCCAGCAGCAGAGGAACCAGGAGGACGAACAAAAACGGCCGGAGGAATAATCTCGGCAGCCGGAGGAACATCAGCAGCAAGTGGCATTTCATCATCAGCTGACAACGGAACATCACGGGCAAGAGGCGGCGGACTCGGCGGAGGAGACGGGGCAGCATCTTGCGGCGGCGTTGGTGCCAGGGGGGGGAGACTCACTGTGCACATGTGCTTCAGGTTCGGCTAGCAAGCGCGACAGACCATCAGCATTCAGATGTTGGCGACCTGGACGGTGGACGACCCGGAATTCATATTCGGATAAACAGTCAAGCCAACGTGCTTTCCGTCCACGGGGTTCCTTCAGGTTCCGGAGTGCAGTCAACGCAGTATTGTCCGTCCTGGCAACAAATGGTCGTGCCAACAAGTAGTGCCTGAAATACTCCGCAAAATAGACCAGAGCAAGGGCCTCACGATCGCTAGCATCGTAGTTGCGCTCAGCTTTCGTCAGTACACGACTGCCGTACCCAATTGGTCGCTCAGTTCCATCCTGGATCTGGCTGAGGACTGCACCAATCGACACATTGCTCGCATCGGTATCCAGAATGAATGCACCTGCTGAATCTTCAAACTGGGGGTACGCCATCACCGGCGCACTGGCAAGCGAACGCTTCAGAGCCTGGAACGCCGCTTCGCAAGCTTTCGACCACGCAAAGCGAGCATTCTTGCCTGTCAGAGCAGTCAGCGGAGCAGCACGCTGGGCGAACCCACGGATGAAGCGGCGATAATATCCAGCGAAGCCAAGGAACTCGCGGACAGCTGTGACAGATTTCGGAGTCTTCCAGTTCCTGACCGCGACGAGTTTGGCTTCATCCGGGGAGATGCCCTCCGCTGACACGCGGTGTCCTAAGAAAGTGACCTCCTCCTGGAAGAAGGAGCATTTCTTCAGATTGAACCGCAGTCCAGCGGACCGAACTCGCGCGAACACGGGCAGCAGAATCTGGAGTTGGCCAGACAGCGTTTCGCTGGCATTCAGGACATCATCAAAGAACACACGGCAGAATGGCTGGGCCGGTGTGTTACATAAGCCACTCAGGACTGCTTCCATTACGCGCTGAAATGTCGCTGGGCCATTCCTGCAGCCCATCGGCAGAACATTAAACTCAAACAAGCCCAGTGGCGTGGTAAATGCCGTCTTAGCCTTGTCGCTTCCTTCCATTGCTATTTGCCAGTACCCTGACGCTAAGTCAAGGGACGTGAAATACCGACAGCCAGACAGGGAATCAAGCATGTCATCCGCCCGGGGAATCGGGTAAGCATCAGGCTCGGTGACAGAGTTCAACTTCCTGTAGTCGATACAGAGTCGAAGAGAGCCATCCTTCTTTGGCACCAATACTATGGGTGATGCCCACGGACTAATCGATTCTTGTATTATGCCTTGCTTTAACAGCGTATTCAGTAGATCTTGCAGAGCCTTCCGGCGGTGATATGGAATCCGCCTGGTAGGTTGTTTTATAGGGTTATTTTGTCCTGTGTTAATTTTATGAGGGAATATGTCACAGTAGCCATAGTCATCATCATGCAAGATAAATAAATCGTGGTTATCATGAAGTAGTTCAGTGAGCGTGCGAGACTGTTCTGTGGAGAGATGATTTTGTGCGTTGATATATTCATCGATGACTTTCTTGCGTTGCTCAGTTAGCGGGATCGGGTCGGGTGAAACTGAGGAAACCATAGCTTCAGTGTCGTCAATATGTTCACAATCTGTAGGAATTTGATGAAGTTCGGCAACATTGGTATTTTTATGAATGAGTATAGGATGATTTGCATGATTTTCAATACATTTAGAAGACTATTTGTGACAAGACGACGGAACCACAACTAGACATGACGAACTCAAGACGAAGACATCATGAACTCAAGACGAAGACACCATGAACTCAAGACGAAGACAGCTTTTCATACCACAGCAACATGCGCATGCACCAACATGACGTACACACGACGTACACAAAATAACGTACTACAACATAACTCCCTCCCAAGAGTAGAATCGTCCTCGATTCTAATAATAAAACAGAGTAAAAAAAAGAGGAAAAGATCACACAAATCACTCAATCATACCACACCAATCACACCCATAAATAAAACACCTCTGCCTGCACTGCAGATTATTAAAAACTCTGTCCGCCCACCCAGAACACCAGCCACGATCGCTGTCACACGTGTAGGAACTGATAACCTCAAAAACTCTAAACTACTTCACTCAACACACCACCTCACGATCACGCAAAAATTCTAAAATGTGAGAGCACAAATCATAGGAATAACAAAAAGAACAGAATCCACTGGCTCTGTGGGGGCCTCTAGTTATCCTCATAGAAGAGCAAATCAAAAAACAAACAGAACACACGCGCTGTGCGGGCGCCTCTTTACCCTCGAGGAGAGCAAATAATAAAGAACAAAATGTTGGGAGAACAGAAAATACACAACTCACATTCTCATCACGTTCACAACAACACACGTATCCTCTCACCAACGAAACTCCTCACGCCGTCTGCCATGTCGTCCGCCATCTCAAAGCGCTGCTCAGCGTCCACATCCTCACACTGCAGCCTTCACCTTCCATCCTTCTTTTTCTTTCTGTTTCAGTTTTTCTTCTGGGCACAGTTTTACGTCGTGTCCGGGACCATCCATCCTTCTTTTTTCCTTTCCTTTTCTTCTGGGCACAGTTTTACGTCGTGTCCGGGACCACCAGTGACGACGACTGCCAAGAGACGGGAGAGACGAATGATGAAGGACGAGGACGACGGACGAACTTCTTCAAGACGGACAAAACTGTGACGATAGGACGACTGGAGATGACATCGGAAACTGGGAGCGAAGGCCACGCAGGACGAATCCAGAAGTTGAAGTGTACAACAATTTCCATTACCGCTGCCACCAATGTTGTAACTGCCACCAATGTTGTAACTGCCTTTCGGCTAATGATGCCCCCTCACACCGGAACACAAGGGGTTTATATGATTGGATAATTTATAGAAGTATTCGAGAAGAGTGTAGACAAGGAGAACAGGACAACGACAACTCAAGACTAGACTACTCTAGAACAGAACAGAACCTGGAGCATGCGCTCTTCTATGTGAGTGGCTCATTGCCAAGGGGAACGAGCGGGAAATACGAATAGTAAGTATGTGAGTATACAGGTCGTAGCATACATACACCTATTACAGTATCTTGCACCCTAAACTTGCACGGCCCTTGACCTGGCCCTGGAAACCGGTACGAATGCGGCTGGACGTACACATGTGCCAGTACATTGATGTAATCGGAACCCGTGGTCCGGGGTGTCAGTTTTGAACTTTGGGTCAGATTTCAGTGAGTGCAACTGTGCATGTGTGTGCTCATCTACGGTGCTGATGCTCTGTGAAGTCCAATCCTGTGAGTCAAGTTTGCGCACTCTGTGTCAGTGTGCCCCGGGGCTCGAAATGGCCGCGATTCCATAGCACTGGGCGTCTACATGCAACACATGGTCTTGTGTACGCAATTCTACGATAGCAAATGAGAGTCCTTCGGCTCGGTACAGTGCTCAGTATTCATTAGAATAGAGATATCTTACACACGACACATGCTGCGTGGTGCTCTGTGTCACCGTGTGCAATGCTATGATAGTGTTTTTTGGAGTTGTGCATCGTTACAGTTAAGAGAAGTTAAGAGATGGGTCGACAACATCAAAGAAGACCTCAAACCTCTGAATGTGCCGATTCAGGAATGCCTCAACCTCGCCACCAACAAGCAACTCTGGTTAACGATCATTGACAGATGCATGACCCCCGTATGATTTGTTTATGCGGGCAATATGCCACTGTTCATATCGTTATTATCGTTACAGACTGCACAAACACATCAGCTGAGAGCGACTCTAACAAATGTTCCCAGGGCGTCCGTGTCTTACTTTCACATCAGCATGGCTGTAGCACCAGAAAGGGTTCTATGGTGTAATGGTTAGCACTCTGGACTTTGAATCCAGCGATCCGAGTTCAAATCTCGGTAGAACCTTTTTTCCTACACTTTGTGCCTTTTTTGGCTGGAGAGTAAGTAGCTGGTGAGGGAATTCTGCTGAAATTGACTGACTTACTGCAAGGGCTATGTGCCGTGGACAGTGAGGGACGTTTCTCTCCACTCCTCCCACCAAGCCCCCCCCCCCCTCCCCACCAGTACCCAGTTTTCAGTGACTGTGTTGGTGTGATTCTCATCAACTCTGGAGAACTTCTTCATTTCATCTCTGGCCGCTTCTCTTCTCCGTCGGAAGGTATTTTAGTGTCGGTCAACCATCTGAAGTACAATTTACTCGTGTGGGAGAGGTGGCTGAGCTGAAAATTGTGAAAATTTAGAGTCCAGATGAGTGTATTTTATCAATTCACGGGACAGGGTACCTGTGGCAAAAAGTGGTACGGTCAATACTCAATACCGTAGTGACCGTACCGTGCCCGACGCCGCTGTTCTGTCGCTGTCCATCTGTCTTTCCCCTGTATCTCTGTGTGTGTGTCTGTCTGTCTGTCTGTCTGTCTGTCTGTCTGTCTGTCTGTCTGTCTGTCTCTCTGTCCATCGGTCTACATGTTTCTCCTTCCGTTTGTATGCATTTCTGCCTGTCTGTTCCTTTGTCCATCCATCCATCCGTCCACCACGTCCGTCTGTCCGTCCGTCCGTCTCTCTGTATAACTCTGCCTTGTATATATTCCGCGCAATCTGAGAATTTGCGCAATCTGAGAATTCCAGATTGCCTGCGCAATGTGCAGGTTGCGCAGGCAGTTCCGCGCAATCTGAGAATTTGCGCAGTCTGAGAATTCCCAGATGGCGCAGACCAGGCACGGTGAAACCGTGTGCCTGAGCTTCTGCGAGACTTCTAGGAGCACACCCAAGTATGTGTGGTGCAAAATTCCAGTGTGTGGTTCGTGCAATCTGTGGATTTCTCTCAAAACCTGAAGAGCACAGCGAATTCATGTGTGGCGCAGTCTGCGAGTGCAATCTGTGGATTTCGTTGAAAAATCATGAAGAGCACAGCGAATCCATGTTGGAGCAATCTGTGGATTTCTTTGAAAAAAACATGAAGAGCACAGCGAATCCGTTTTCAGCGAAATCGGGCCACAGATTGCCGCCACACGGATTCACTGTGCTCTTCATGATTTTCAACGAAATCCACAGATTGCACCCACAGACTGCGCTCCACATCAATTCGCTGTGTACTTCAGGTTTTGAGAGAAATCCACAGATTGCACGAAAGGCGCACGTGAATTTTGCACCACACGTTCTTGGGTACCGCTTGTGCTCCCAGAAGTCTCGCAGAAGCCCAGGCACGCTGATTTACCGTGCCTGGTCTCGTGCCACAAATATTATCGTGTCACCGCTGCGCAATCTTCACAATCTGGGAATTCTCAGATTGTGCAAATTCTCAGGTTGCGCGGAACATAATATAATATGCGCACATGTATCTGCCTCGTCATGAATAATTATTCTCTCTATCTCTCTCTCTCTCTCTCTCTCTCTCTCTCTCTCTCTCTCTTTCTTCTCTCTCTCTCGCTCTCCCCTTGTGTTTGTTGTTGTGTTGTTGTGTGTGACAGTGAGTTCAGCTCACGACAGGTAGGCCAGTGTCGACAGGCCGTGGGTCACTTGGCCGTACTCGATTGCCTTCTGTCGTTAGCTAAGCTAGCCTCTCAGCCCGGCTACTGTAGGTAAGACTGGAACACCTCACGGCTGTGCTGGACTGTGTGCTGTGTGCTGTGTGCTGTGTACTGTGGGCTGTGGGCTGTGCTGGGCTGTGTACTGTGCTGGGCTGTGGGCTGTGCTGGGCTGTGGGCTGTGCTGGGCTGTGCACTGTGCTGGGCTGTGTGCTGTGTACTGTGGGCTGTGTGCTGTGTGCATGCTACCGTATTTTAGGTAAGACTGGAACACTTGGGCTGTGTGTTGTGGGCTGTGTACTGTGTGCTGTGTGCATGCTACCGTATTTTAGGTAAGACTGGAACACTTGGGCTGTGTGCTGTGGGCTGTGGGCTGTGGGCTGTGAGCTGTGTGCTGTGTGCACGCTACCGTATTTTCCGTATTTTCCGGAGCATCTGGCGAGCCAGGACCCCAGACCTCCGTGTTGGCTGAGCTTCACAGGTCCCACACACTCTATCTGCTGGATATAATATACTCTTAGATGCAGCTTCTAACTGTCCATCATGCAAATACTATTTAATAGTGTTCTTTGTAAAAAATAATTTAAAGAAGTATAAGCCGCACTTTGAACACTCAAATATCTCTCCAAAAAGGTGGGGGGGGGGGGGGAGTAGGGGTGGTGGGTGTGCGGCTTATACTCCGATGGTCAAATTAACGATGATTACCTATCATGTCCATGATACGACATGCACCCGTGAAAACGACTTCTCCACTGCACTTATTGTAAAAGCCATATAATTATATAACGAAGTGCTAATTCTAACGAGTTAACGGGGAGAAATCTGTCGTTAAAATAGAAATCGTTATACAGAAATCGATACATAAACTGTTGCTATTGAATGTACTCAGATGGAGAGCCAAGGTTTAATTTATACAAAGAGAAAGACCAAAAAACTACAAGTTACGCTATACTGTCCACTAACACCACCAGTTACTAAACAATCAGCTCATGTGATAACATTGCACGACACTGACCGACGGTACTGACGTTCTACAACTAACTGGCTAACAGCTCTAGCACATCTTGGATGCGCACTCCAACAGCCTTCCAACTTGGAAGGTTCTAAGTTATAGAAATAACATAAGGAGGGGAAGGTGAGCGCAACCAAGACAAGCACGAGCTGAAAGTCTCAGCTGTGAAGGACGTTGGCGGATGTTCATGCATGTCGATGACGATACTGGCAAGACCATTGGACAATACGTTGCTTTGCGTTCTGGAATCGTGGTTTGACCGTATTGTCCAATGGTCTTGCCAGTATCGTCATCGACATGCATAAACATCCGCCAACGTCCTTCACAGCTGAGACTTTCAGCTCGTGCTTGTCTTGGTTGCGCTCACCTTCCCCTCCTTATGTTATTTCTATAACTTAGAACCTTCCAAGTTGGAAGGCTGTTGGAGTGCGCATCCAAGATGTGCTAGAGCTGTTAGCCAGTTAGTTGTAGAATGCCAGTACCGTCGGTCAGTGTCGTGCAATGTTATCACATGAGCTGATTGTTTAGTAACTGGTGGTGTTAGTGGACAGTATAGCATAACTTGTAGTTCCTTGGTCTTTCTCTTTTGTTGCTATTGAGCGTTGAGAATGCGTGAGAATCGTTACCTTTGGTACTGTACACGTAAACCAGTCAATTTTAGGAAGTCGTTAGATGTGCGCCTCGTTAGATTAATGGCTTTTACAGTAACAGTCAGGTCCGAAAGTTCATTCATATCTGAACGTAACCACATGTACGTTTGTGATCACTAAATTCGAAAATAACTAACAGTACCGTAAAGTACTGTTGATCCCCCCCCCCCCCCCCTCCTGCCATGTCCCCCCCCCCCTGCCATGTTGCTTCCCAGCTGGGTTTTTGGCAGGGGGCGGGGATTAGATCTAGGGCTGTCAAATGCAGTACGATGTACAACAACGTGGCAGATCAGACTCGATGTGCCGGATTGTGCACATTTTCATCCTGCACTGTTTGGCATGTATTGTGTGCAGCAGTACATAGCGTGGGTTCAACACTGTACTTCATCCTGCACTGGCATGTATTGTGTACAGCAGTGCATAGCGTGGGTTCAACACTGTACTTCATCCTGCACTGGCATGTATTGTGTACAGCAGTACATAGCGTGGGTTCAACACTGTACTTCATCCTGCACTGGCATGTATTGTGTACAGCAGTACATAGCGTGGGTTCAACACTGTACTTCATTGTATACTATGAAGTCACTTCGCAGGCAAAAATTCGACAGGAGATGGAAATTCGACAGGAGATGGAAATTCCGGATCAACTGTACATGGCGGTAGTTTCGCATGTGGACTGGCAAGACATGAAGTTCAAAGGTCATCGCAAAGTCACCAGAAAGGGTTCTATGGTGTAATGGGTTAGCACTCTGGACTTTCAATCCAGCGATGCGAGTTCAAATCTCGGTAGTACCTTTTTGCACCATTTTCTTCTTTTCTTCAATTCCCAACCATGAAAGACATCAAAATGAAGTTCAAAGGTCATCGCAAAGTCACCAGACAGGGTTCTATGGTGTAATGGTTAGCACTCTGGACTCTGAATCCAGCGATCCGAGTTCAAATCTCGGTAGAACCTGATCTTTTTTTCTTATTCTTTTTCAATTCGAAAATTGGGCCCAAATAGCCCGTATTTCATTGTTTCCGAAATCACATTGAAATTATTGGTGCCGCACCGGTTCCGACGCCCCTGTGTACAAACACACAGATTTCAAGCAGGTCGCCTGCTGCACAACTGCAGTTCAGTTGTACACACTATACCACTTGCCGGGGCATGTTTGCCTCAAATACTAATATGATGTAATCCAGGAATTTCGCCGTAGTGACTGACTCTCTCTCTCTGTCCCTCTCCCTCTCTCTGTCCCTCTCCCTCTCCCTCTCCCTCTCCCTCTACCTCTCTTTCTCTGTCTGTTGTGTGTTATTCCCAGACCGTACTTACTAGAGGACAGTGAAGCATGTGAGTTGAGTTTTGTCAACGGCTGGCATCCGGTGGTGTCTGCCTTGTTGAACACGGTGGACTCGGACTCGCAGTTTGTCGCCAACTCTGCGTTCATGACGGTGAGTGTGTGTATGGGTTGTGTGTGAGAAAGAGAGCAGAGCCATGTGTGCTTTGTGGCTGTTTGTTTTTAGGAGAGGGAGGTCGGGGTGCTCATGTGCGTGTTTTACCCCTACATGGGGGGGGGGGGGATGTCTGGTGCAAGATTCAAGCTACGCTGGGTAATGCCTGAACCCGGTTAGGTGACCACTGGGAATATACCCCGGGGGTAACAAACCCGGTTAGGGGACCTCCGGGGAATACCCCTGGGGCAGCATACCCGGTTAGGGGACCACCACCGGGGATACCCCTGGGGCAACAAGCCAGGTTAGGGGACCACCACCGGGGAATACCACTGGGGCGACACACCCGGTTAGGCGACCACCGGGGAATACCCCTGGGGCAGCATACCCGGTTAGGGGACCACCACCGGGGATACCCCTGGGGCAACAAGCCAGGTTAGGGGACCACCACCGGGGAATACCACTGGGGCGACACACCCGGTTAGGCGACCACCGGGGAATACCCCTGGGGCAACAGACCTGCGTGGTACGATACATGCCTTAGTGACCGTAGCGTGTCCAACAACCCTGTCACTCCCCACAGCACTTAACACCCCACACAAGGAAACGATTAGAGAACATTACCAGAGCAGACTATGAACTAGAAGACATTCATCAGACAGCGGGCAAAGCAGCTCACAGAGAAAAAGAAACCTTGAACACAGGAGCGTGAGAAGAATACGGAGGGGGGGGGGGAAGGGGTTGGCAACAGCTCAAGGGTATGTTAAAAAAGTATGATACTTGTAGTATCACATAGCATATTTTCCGGCGTATACTGCAGCCTATACTACGATGGTCAAATTACCTACTGCTGATAATACTTATAGGTAGATGTGTGTATGTCACGACAAAGAATCTCCAGTGTGGCTTATACTCCAGTGTGGCTTATACTCCAGTGTGGCTTATACTCCAGTGTGGCTTATACTCCAGTGTGGCTTATACTCCAGTGTGGCTTATACTCCAGTGTGGCTTATACTCCAGTGTGGCTTATACTCCAGTGTGGCTTATACTCCAGTGTGGCTTATACTCCAGTGTGGCTTATACTCCAGTGTGGCTTATACTCCAGTGTGGCTTATACTCCAGTGTGGCTTATACTCCAGTGTGGCTTATACTCCAGTGTGGCTTATACTCCAGTGTGGCTTATACTCCAGTGTGGCTTATACTCCAGTGCGGCTTATACTCCAGTGCGGCTTATACTCCAGTGTGGCTTATACTCCAGTGTGGCTTATACTCCAGTGTGGCTTATACTCCAGTGTGGCTTATACTCCAGTGTGGCTTATACTCCAGTGCGGCTTATACTCCAGTGTGGCTTATACTCCAGTGTGGCTTATACTCCAGTGTGGCTTATACTCCAGTGTGGCTTATACTCCAGTGTGGCTTATACTCCAGTGTGGCTTATACTCCAGTGTGGCTTATACTCCAGTGCGGCTTATACTCCAGTGTGGCTTATACTCCAGTGTGGCTTATACTCCAGTGTGGCTTATACTCCAGTGTGGCTTATACTCCAGTGTGGCTTATACTCCAGTGTGGCTTATACTCCAGTGTGGCTTATACTCCAGTGTGGCTTATACTCCCGTGCGGCTTATACTCCAGTGTGGCTTATACTCCAGTGTGGCTTATACTCCAGTGTGGCTTATACTCCAGTGCGGCTTATACTCCAGTGTGGCTTATACTCCAGTGTGGCTTAGACTCCAGTGTGGCTTATACTCCAGTGTGGCTTATACTCCAGTGTGGCTTATACTCCAGTGTGGCTTATACTCCAGTGCGGCTTATACTTCAGTGTGGCTTATACTCCAGTGTGGCTTATACTCCAGTGTGGCTTATACTCCAGTGTGGCTTATACTCCAGTGTGGCTTATACTCCAGTGTGGCTTATACTCCAGTGTGGCTTATACTCCAGTGTGGCTTATACTCCAGTGTGGCTTATACTCCAGTGTGGCTTATACTCCAGTGTGGCTTATACTCCAGTGTGGCTTATACTCCAGTGTGGCTTATACTCCAGTGTGGCTTATACTCCAGTGTGGCTTATACTCCAGTGTGGCTTATACTCCAGTGTGGCTTATACTCCAGTGTGGCTTATACTCCAGTGTGGCTTATACTCCAGTGTGGCTTATGCTCCAGTGTGGCTTATGCTCCAGTGTGGCTTATGCTCCAGTGTGGCTTATGCTCCAGTGTGGCTTATGCTCCAGTGTGGCTTATGCTCCAGTGCGGCTTATGCTCCAGTGCGGCTTATGCTCCAGTGCGGCTTATGCTCCAGTGCGGCTTATGCTCCAGTGCGGCTTATACTCCAGTGCGGCTTATACTCCAGTGCGGCTTATACTCCAGTGCGGCTTATACTCCAGTGCGGCTTATACTCCAGTGCGGCTTATACTCCAGTGTGGCGTATACTCCAGTGTGGCTTATACTCCAGTGTGGCTTATGCTCCAGTGCGGCTTATACTCCAGTGTGGCTTATACTCCAGTGCGGCTTATACTCCAGTGCGGCTTATACTCCAGTGTGGCTTATACTCCAGTGTGGCTTTTACTCCAGTGCGGATTATACTCTAATGTGGCTTATACTCTGGAAAATACGGTAGTTAAGTGCTGTGCAGGTGTGCAGGAACAGTCAGATGCAATGGACTGTGTACACCCGGTTAGGGGACCACCGGGGAATACCTCATCCGAGACGACGGGGAAGAGAATTTCGGTGGAGGCGTCGCCCTCTACATCGCTGACAGCAGTGGCTACGATGTAACGTCACTTGATATGGATATGACGCAAGCCGAATGTCTATGGGTGAACATCACTGCAGGCGAATCAACCGTTTATCGTGCGAGGGAGTGCAGTTCGTCCATCTTGTTGAACAAGCACCTTACATTGGTGCTAACGAAGTTGAAAGTGTGTTCCATTTTTTTAATGTTTTTTTGCTGTTGCTGATGATGGAGTTTGCAGAAAAGATTTATACTGTTGACTTCCTGCGCACGGCTGTTTTTTTTCGCGAAATTTGGACATTTAACAAGATGGCAGCCAAAAGTCTCGATTGGGCTGGATCGGCAAGGAAATTTGAATTTTCAAATTCTCAGCAGCCGATTTCGCTGTGGTTTTCGCTCGATTTAGAAAGCTACCAGGCCAGGTTTACCCGGAAAACAGGTATTCCGTGTTCCTCTTGAAACTAGCTTTCCGCTGGTACCTCACATGGCCAACTTCGTCTCAGGAACAGTTTGTTCCGCGTTGCACAAGTCAAGCCTTCTTTCTCGCTCGTTCCTTGATTCATCGTTGACATGCCTGCGTCAAGAAGCCCTTTCAGGAGTTTTCCCAGTCTAGCTTTCAGTTTTCCCAGGTAGAGGACTATCTTCTGGCTATCTTCACCAAGTTTTATCACGTCCCGTGCACAAACTTCAGGTCCCGTGCGTTCAATGCTGAGCTACCTTTTCATGCGATTTAGGGGACAGATGGCATGGCGCTGGAGTCGCTGTTGAGTCCAGGAGGCCGAGGCCTGGTGGAAACTGCCCAGTAGACGTGTGGAGCATTGCTGAAAAGGGCAGCAAGCACACAGATAGCCCCGAAATTGTGATGTAGATCCAATTGTGCGTTTGTTCGAGCTGAAAATCAGTGCGTGCGTCAATATCCAGACTACCAGGGACAGCTTGGAGAGGTTCGAAAAGGTCAGGATGCTGGTTGACCACGGCAGGAGTTCCTTTTACCTTCCTTCTCTCTCAAATTGTCTGGATATTGAGTATCTCGCTCGAGCGCTTTCAAATAATAAATCCTGGTTTGACTTGCGAAATCGTGGAACCACACGGAGAGTGACATGAGTTTCATCCCAAAACGCAAACTCCCATCGTATTCATGAGGTTTGCACCGCGTTACGTAAATCGCACCGAACGACTCCATATTGTTAGATGTCCGTGCGCGAACAGCCGTGCTGGCCCCTTGGCCTTGGTACGATGCAACGGGATTACATTGGGTGCTGTCTGCTCCAGCTGGCTGTACCTGCAGCGTCGCTTGCTGTGTGTTTTCCAGTCTCCCTCGTTTGCTGCTGTGACTTGTTGAAGTAGCGCGATGCTGCGTTCGTCGTCATCACTGGTGTCGCTCGTGTTGTCGGTGTCACTCGTGCCTGCATCTCGCTCACGAGGTGTGCTGGACGCAATGACCAGCAGGATGCTGCTTGCTGACGCGGGGTTTGGCAAGTGGTCGTCTTCCGGAGCGGTGGCAGAGATGGTGCTGTTGACTGTGGAGTCCTCGGCTGACTCTTCGTTGTTGCTGCCAGTTGACTTTTCAGGTTTAAACCTGTCGTTCAGTTGAACCGCCAGGCTCCACGCTGAGTCCATACGTGGCAGGGATACTGTGTTGCCACTGTCCGTGCTACATGTAGCTGCAGTACTACCGGTAGTACGGGTACGGTCTGCGTACGTTCCGCTGCGACTGTCAGTTACAGTGCAGTTGTTGGCAGTGTGGCCTGGCCGGCCTGGCTGTGAGCATTTTCGGCAGGTCTGCGGCTGCTTCCAGTACCGTACTCGAAACATGTTCTTGGCATCAGCTCGGACAAAGGAGGGGATGTTTGTTGCTGGCGTTTTGAAGCGAAATGAGGTGAAACGGACCCCGGTCTCTACAACACGACCAGCACTGGTTTTGACCTGGCCATGTCGAATTTTGCCCACTACAAGGCCGAACTTGTTCAGGGCATTGTCGATAACCAAATTATCAACCCATATCGGTACGTCAAGAATTTGAATTTCCGCTGTGTTGGAGAAAAGCGGACTGACGGGGAAGGTTTCGCCGTTGAGAGTAACGCCCGGCTCAGCGCAAACATGAGTCACAGAGTCCTGAGTTTCAAATGTTACCTTGGATTGTTGTTTGACGGCCATCTGGACGCAAACCAAGTCTTTAGTGCCGCAGTCGGCGAGGGCCTCCGCAACAGCCAGGTTCTTTGTGCCGCGGGGTGCGGTGAAGACGCAGGTGTTTCGTTTGAGGTCATCCGGCGAGATGACCGACCAGGATGGCGGCGCGGTTGAGCTGCTTGTTCCAGCAGAGCGTGATGGAGGCTGATGGCCATACTGGTTAGAGACTTCAGGAAGCTCTCACCAATTCAAGGACGACACTGGGTTAGAGACTTCAGGAAGCTCTCACCAATTCAAGGACGACACTGGGTTAGAGACTTCAGGAAGCTCTCACCAATTCAAGGACGGCACTGGGTTAGAGACTTCAGGAAGCTCTCACCAATTCAAGGACGACACTGGGTTAGAGACTTCAGGAAGCTCTCACCAATTCAAGGACGACACTGGGTTAGAGACTTCAGGAAGCTCTCACCAATTCAAGGACGGCACTGGGTTAGAGACTTCAGGAAGCTCTCACCAATTCAAGGACGACACTGGGTTAGAGACTTGAGGAAGCTCTCACCAATTCAAGGACGACACTGGGTTAGAGACTTGAGGAAGCTCTCACCAATTCAAGGACGACACTGGGTTAGAGACTTGAGGAAGCTGTCACCAATTCAAGGACGACACTGGGTTAGAGACTTGAGGAAGCTCTCACCAATTCAAGGACGACACTGGGTTAGAGACTTCAGGAAGCTGTCACCAATTCAAGGACGACACTGGGTTAGAGACTTGAGGAAGCTGTCACCAATTCAAGGACGACACTGGGTTAGAGACTTGAGGAAGCTGTCACCAATTCAAGGACGACACTGGGTTAGAGACTTGAGGAAGCTCTCACCAATTCAAGGACGGCACTGGGTTAGAGACTTGAGGAAGCTCTCACCAATTCAAGGACGACACTGGGTTAGAGACTTCAGGAAGCTCTCACCAATTCAAGGACGACACTGGGTTAGAGACTTGAGGAAGCTCTCACCAATTCAAGGACGACACTGGGTTAGAGACTTGAGGAAGCTCTCACCAATTCAAGGACGACACTGGGTTAGAGACTTGAGGAAGCTCTCACCAATTCAAGGACGACACTGGGTTAGAGACTTGAGGAAGCTCTCACCAATTCAAGGACGACACTGGGTTAGAGACTTGAGGAAGCTGTCACCAATTCAAGGACGACACTGGGTTAGAGACTTGAGGAAGCTCTCACCAATTCAAGGACGACACTGGGTTAGAGACTTGAGGAAGCTGTCACCAATTCAAGGACGACACTGGGTTAGAGACTTGAGGAAGCTCTCACCAATTCAAGGACGACACTGGGTTAGAGACTTGAGGAAGCTCTCACCAATTCAAGGACGACACTGGGTTAGAGACTTGAGGAAGCTCTCACCAATTCAAGGACGACACTGGGTTAGAGACTTGAGGAAGCTCTCACCAATTCAAGGACGACACTGGGTGTCTTCCATTAGTAGTCAGTATGGTGTAAAGACTAACAACAAGCTTTCATACGCAAAGCTACAAAATATGCATCCACCTCTAAACAAAGTTGTTGCTTGTTGTTGTTGTTGTTGTTGTTGTTGTTGTTGTTGTTGTTGTTGTTTCAAATCTTTATTCTCACGATAGCCAGTGGCCAATAAGAGATAATAGTGTAAGAAAGGAGAAAGAGTGAGGAAGAATTGGGTGGGCAGGGCCTAGGGGTTAATGACTACTTAAGTGTACGGGCAGGGGTGGTCGCCACACGAGCATACAGAGTTGCGTACTTAAGTGTACGGGCAGGGGTGGTCGCTACACGAGCATACAGAGTTGTGCAACAGCAGGGATATCTCGGATTTGAAGGGAGTACGAGAAGGGATTTCGCGAAGCTGGGTGGGCAGGCAATTAAAGTAATGAAGGGCCTTGTACAGGGGAGAATGGAGACAGCGGTCAGTCCGCGGAGTTGGCAAGTGCCAAGTACGAGAGCGACGTAAATTATACGAAGGTTGCACGTTGCTAGCAGTATGCAGCGAGAGTATATGTGGTGGGGCATAATTGTGGCGCAGAGAATGCGCGAAGAGTATATGTTTAACTTTAAAGCGTGAAAATAATGTTGGCCATTTGATGCGATGCAAAAGGTGGGAGTGTTCTAAGTGTGTGTAAAGGGGAAGGTGGAGACATATTCTGGCGGCTTTCCGCTGGAGTCGTTCTAGCCTGTCAAGGGAAGTGTGGGACAACGGTGTGAGAGCAGTGCTCGCATATGAGAATATAGGTAGTATGTATGTCTGATAGATGTGAGATAAAGAATCACTGGTGAGTGTAGACCTTAGTCTAAAAAGAATATTGAAAGACTTGAGTGATTTTTTGACTATGTATTCAACATGCTCCGTCCAACGGAGGTCATGCTGAAAGATTATTCCGAGGTGTTTGTGTTTTTGTGCTACGGCAAGCGGACTATTCCTGAGGGTGATCTGGGGTAGCTGTTCAGGGGGGCGGTTATTGTGGTAGAACGGGAGGATGACTGTTTTCTTTGTTTTAACCAGCAGGTGCCATCTTTGAAGCCAGTCTCCAGCTGCTGTGACACTCTGTTGTAGGTTTCGGGTGCAGTCTTGAAGAGTTCTCGCTATGGAAATCAGAGCGGTGTCATCTGCAAACTGGCTACAGGTGGTGCTGGGATTCTCACATGCGTGTGGAAGGTCTATGGTGTAGACGAGGAATAGAAGCGGCCCAAGAACAGATCCCTGAGGGACGCCGGCAGGGATCTCGAGGAAAGGCGATAGGTCGCCATCCACCTGGACCCTTTGCCGACGCCCCAACAGGTACCGTCGGAACCACTCCAGGGCGTTGCCCTGGACACCATAGTGGGAGAGTTTTGCTAGAAGGCCTGCATGCCACACACGATCGAAGGCCTTGCTTAGATCGAAAAAGCAGGCATTGACGTGTTTCCCGTCGTCTCTCGCAGTGGAGAGGGTATGGACGAGACGGGCGAGCTGCTGCTCAGTGCCGTCTTTCTCGCGGAATCCGGACTGCTGGTTGGGCAGGTGGGGTGTGATGTGCTTGTAGAGGAGTTGATGTGCAATTTTTTCTTGGATTTTTGATGTAGTGCTCAAGAGAGAGATGGGTCTATAATTTGTTGGTTGGGTTGGGTCACCCGGCTTGGGTACTGGAGTAATGGTGGCATCTTTCCACTCCTGTGGGATTTCTCCGGTTTGGAACGATAGATTAAAGAGGGACGATAACGACGGTGCAAGTTCCTTAGCCGCTTCTTTGAGGAGGCGGTTTGGAATAGAGTCAAACCCGGGGCTTTTGTTGGTATCAACTCCTCGGAGGAGTTTTTCGACCTCAGCTTGGGAAGTCGAGATTTCTTGAAGGGGACTGAGGATGTCAGGGGTGGTGTTGATGGCTGGAGTTTGCTCATCCGCATTGGCCACGGACAGCTTGCTCTGTGAAATGAAGAATTCGTTGAGGGCAGCGGCTTTTTGTGCTGGTGTCGTTGCAGGAGTTGCTTGGCTGACGAGTTCGGGTATGCGTTGTTTTGTAGCTGTAGTTAGGTGCTTCATGAGGCGGTGTAGGGAAGTAGAGGAGGCTGTTGAGTTGTTTACGAAATCCGATTTAGCACGACGCAGGAGGGTGGTGACACGGTTTCTTTGGGCAGTGAACGTGTTCCAGTCGTCAGGCGAGCGTGAGTGAAGGTATATTCTGTGTTTTCTGTGCTTATCCTTGATCTCTTTCAAGAGGCCCTTTGATATCCATGGTCGTGCTGGGGGGGGGGGGGTTGTTGTTGTTGTTGTTGTTGTTGTTGTTGTTGTTGTTGTTGTTGTCATTGTCGTTGTTGTCGTTACTGCCGTGTGTTGCAGGCATCCGAGAACCGAGTTTCTATCATCACGGGTCCTAACATGGGCGGCAAGAGCTGCTTTGTCCGACAGGTGAGGTCTTGTTCTTGCGCTTGTTCTTGTGTTTGTGCTTGTGTTTGTGTGTGTGCTTGTGTGTTCAATAATCACCACCGTCGTTGATTTCGGTGTTGTGTTTGTTTTGAATTCTGCGTTGGCACATGCTGGTTTGCCTGGTTGTTAGATTTTCTTGTTGGTTTGTGACACTTTGTCTGGACTGTCCTTCACCTGTACATGTATCCTTCCGTGCATTTGTCCGTCTGTTGATTTTGTGAGTTTGTTTGTCATATAATGTGTGTGTGTGTGTGTGTGTGTGTATGTGTATGTGTCGCTGTGTATGTGTGTGTATGTTACTGTGCATGTGTGTCTATACGTCTGTGCGTATGTGTGTGTGTGTGTGTGTATGTGTGTGTGTATACGTCTGTGCGTATGTGCATGTGCTTCAGGTTGCGCTGATGGTGATCATGTGTCAGATGGGTTCGTTTGTTCCGGCCGAAAGTGCTCGTATGTCCGTACTGGACGGTGTGTTTGTACGCATGGGTGCCTGCGATGATATCGGACATGGGCACAGTACCTTCATGGTTGAACTACAGGTACTGGGAACAGTGTAATTTTACTTGTATTCACATTTCAATGTCAGCGACCTGACCGGTTTCAGGTGTGACTTAGAATTAGGTGACCAATATTCCCTTCACATACAGTACATACTCTTGTACCAATATTCCCTTCACACACAGTACATACTCTTGTACCAATATTCCCTTCACACACAGTACATACTCTTGTACCAATATTCCCTTCACACACAGTACATACTCTTGTACCAATATTCCCTTCACATACAGTACATACTCTTGTACCAATATTCCCTTCACACACAGTACATACTCTTGTACCAATATTCCCTTCACATACAGTACATACTCTTGTACCAATATTCCCTTCACACACAGTACATACTCTTGTACCAATATTCCCTTCACACACAGTACATACTCTTGTACCAATATTCCCTTCACATACAGTACATACTCTTGTACCAATATTCCCTTCACACACAGTACATACTCTTGTACCAATATTCCCTTCACATACAGTACATACTCTTGTACCAATATTCCCTTCACACACAGTACATACTCTTGTACCAATATTCCCTTCACATACAGTACATACTCTTGTACCAATATTCCCTTCACACACAGTACATACTCTTGTACCAATATTCCCTTCACACACAGTACATACTCTTGTACCAATATTCCCTTCACATACAGTACATACTCTTGTACCAATATTCCCTTCACACACAGTACATACTCTTGTACCAATATTCCCTTCACATACAGTACATACTCTTGTACCAATATTCCCTTCACATACAGTACATACTCTTGTACCAATATTCCCTTCACACACAGTACATACTCTTGTACCAATATTCCCTTCACACACAGTACATACTCTTGTGTCATTTAGGTGTACCTGCTATTTCTACCGAAATTACCCGAAGGATGTACCCAGAGTGCTTGACAGTGCTCAACACCACAAAGGCAGAGCGTAATACACAACAGAACAACAAGGACAATCAAGGCTTGTTTGCTGCTACTTCAAGTTTCATGCTCACGCAATCATCATGCAACATGATGATTGCGTGAGCATGAAACTTAAAGTAGCAGCAAACAAGCCTTGATTGTCCTTGTTGTTCTGTTGTGTACCGAAATTACCAAAAATAACCTGTTTACAGTACGTCTCATGCTTGTTTACCCCATCCCCCCCCCCCCTCCCCCCCCCTCCACCTCTGTATTGTATTTTTCAGAGTATAAACCATACTTTAAATACCAGTGTTTCACCCGAAAAAGAAGTCGCTGCAGCTTATACTACTTCATTCGGTATATTCGTTTCACCACTAGAAAAGAAGTCGCCGCAGCTTATACTACGATGTTTTGATTGATGGAGATAAACATGGTAGATGTGTGTATTTCGTGACAAAAACATCCCAGTCCCAGTCCCAGTCCCAGTCCCACTCCCAGTCCCAGTCCCAGTCCCAGTCCCAGTCCCAGTCCCAGTCCCAGTCCCACTCCCAGTCCCAGTCCCAGTCCCAGTCCCAGTCCCAGTCCCAGTCCAGCTTATTCTCCAGTGCGGATTCTACTCCGGAAATTTCTGGACATCTCCTCAAGCTAATTGGCCTTCCGCAAATACCCATATTTATTTAGAAACGAAAACTAGTCGTTTCTCTTCACCCCCCCCCCCTCCCTGAAAAACGAACACATGCAAATGGTACATAGTATCGATACTTTTGGTCTTTTTTCTGGACATGCTCACACATGCAAAATGTACATCGATATTTTTCGACAAACGAACAGGCGCTCAACCCCCCTCCCCCCTAAACGACTAGTTTTCGTTTCTTAATAAATATCTATATTTACGGATGGCCCCTAATGAAGAAGTTAGTTGTGCTTAATCCGGAGCGCGTGCTTTCTGCTGACTGACTGACGTCTGACACAGTGTGTGACATGCCAGTTTCAAGCTGATGGGCTTGTTTTTATCATGATGAAATTACAAAAAGGAAACCATACTTGTGCCATGGCATTTCAGGGAGTTTCCCCCGCGTATGCGGTTTCCAGCGTCTACACACATGCTCTCGCACTGTTCAAAAGTTCTGTGCTGTGCAGGTATTTTGAAGCTAGATGCAAAGACGTGTTTTCTGCTGCTCTCGTTGCCATTGTAATGGCTTTGAAGAGTGATGGTATGAAAGACCTGGTCAAAACTTCCAGTGGCTTCTGTACTCCGTGTGTTAGTTTAATGATATGAAATATTCATTAGTTTGAGGGGAAGGTGCAAACAATGCAAACAGAACCAACAGAATAAAAAGATGACATTATATTTGCAATTGCATTCCTCTTGGACTTCGGACAGGACTGTTTCCCTTTGTCTCTCTCTTTCTCTGTCTCTGTCTCTCTCTCTGTCTCTCTCTCTCTCTCTCTCTCTCTCTCTCTCTCTCTCTCTCTCTCTCTCTCTCTCTCTCTCTCTCTCTCTCTCTCTCTCACACTCACTCACTCACTCTCTCTCTCTGTATGTTTGTTTGTTTGTTTGTTACTCAGGAAACATCTGATGTCCTTCGCCAAGCCACACCTAGATCACTAGTGATATTGGATGAGCTAGGCAGAGGGACAAGTACTCACGATGGTGTGGCCATAGCATACTCCACTCTGCACTTTCTCATCACCAAGGTTGGTCTGCTTGGTCGGCTTGGTCTGCTTGCGGAGCTCTGTAGGTGTGTGTGTGTGTGTGTTGGGGGGGGGGGGGGGGGACTGTCGGGGCACATTGCTTAATCACGTTTCTATCCCTCTATCTATCCCCCCCCCCCCCCCTCTCGCTATCTCTCACTCACTCTTCTTTTGTTTTCTTCTCTTGGTTGCAGGTGGAGTGCTTGGTGTTGTTTGTAACACACTACCCCGCTGTGGCGCAGCTGTGTGCCCAGCATCCCGCTGCAGTCAAGGCGTTTCACATGTCCTTTCTTAGTGGGACGGACACCGCCGGTAACAATGCTGGAGATGGTGATGCCGTGACTGCTCATCCACCACCTGCTCCTGCTGTTGTGGGTACTGTGACTGCTGCTGTGACTGCTGCGTCTGTGAGTGGGCATGAGGAGCCTGGCAGTGATGGCATGGACAAAAACGAGAGCATGGATTGCAGCAGCACTGACGGCGGTGAGTATCTGGACAGGCATTTGTCATGCTCTGACGGCGGTGAGTATCTGGACAGGCGTTTGTCGTGCTCTGACGGCGGTGAGTATATGAACAGCCGTTTGTCGTGCTCTGACGGCGGTGAGTATCTGGACAGGCGTTTGTCATGCTCTGACGGCAGTGAGTATATGGACAGGCGTTTGTCATGCTCTGACGGCGGTGAGTATATGGACAGGCGTTTGTCATGCTCTGACGGCGGTGAGTATATGGACAGCCGTTTGTCATGCTCTGACGGTGGTGAGTACATGGACAGCCGTTTGTCATGCTCTGCTTACCGGGTTTGTTTTAAATTGCACCTTGCCTCCTTGTCTGCTTCATCCTGAATATGGTCAGAGTGACCGAAATGTTCAGAAAGAAATTACTGACTGTGTGAAATGCTCAGACGGTGCTCAATACCCACACTTCCACTGCTCACACAGTGCTCAATACCTACACTTCCACTACTCACACAGTGCTCAACACCCACACTTCCACTGCTCACACAGTGCTCAATACCCATGCTTCCACTGCTCACACAGTGCTCAATACCCGTGGGCAAAGCTCTCCACCGCAGTAGTCGGAAGGATTTGTTTGCTGCAACTCAGAGTTTCATGCTAAGCATTCCTGGAGTAACAGTGTTCAATTTTACCTGGGGATTATTTAGCATTAATCTCTGAGTTGCCAGCAACAGTTTCTTCTGACTTTCATTCAAAGCCCTGTACAGACGGAACTCGGTGTATACAGCGAATTCCTCGCTCTAATTTACATTTCCATGAAGTTTATCCAGTTGTAGACGCGTGGAGACTACCTGCGTACTAAAATGCCGACTAAAGTACAAATTTCTTGTGTGGCCACATGACGTTTTTCAGTATTTTGACAGGACGGTGTTTGCATGCGCTATGCTGTGCAATGCTCTCTCTCTCTCTCTCTCTCTCTCTCTCTCTCTCTCTCTCTCTCTCTCTCTCTCTCTCTCTCTCTCTCTCTCTTTCTCACTTTCAGATCATACAGTAACATTTCTCTACCAGTTAGTGGAGGGGCTGGCGGAAAAGAGCTATGGCCTCAATGTTGCACGCCTGGCAGGCCTACCGCATGACATTCTTCGCCGTGCTGCCATCAAATCTGAGCACCTAGAGCAGTTGGTGACTTGCCAGCGGTGAGTGCTGCGTTGGTGTGTTGGTGGCGTAATGCGTTATTGTGTTTTGTGGTGCTGGTGCGTGTGCTGGTGTTGTGCTGGTGTAGTGGTGGTGGTGGTTTTGAAGGATTTGTTAAATGCGCGCCTTTCTTGAAACAGTGTGCCAGTGCATGGATGGCGCGCGACTTTGATACATGCGTTTGTATCAGCTAGCCGTGGTTGTGGCAAACTGCATGTCTTGCTCCCGGTGAATGTAGTGCAAGAGGTGTCCATTGTTCAACGCTAGAATGTACACCCTATTGTCATGTGGCTCATGTCATAATGCTGGTCAGGGCTTGTTTCTACTTGAAACGGACTCTTGTTGTAAATGCTCTAGTTTTAAACTACCGGTAGGGGTGAAAGGGGTGATCCGGGTAACCCGGGTACCCGTCTGTTTAGCTGCTGATCCGTTAGCAAACGACTACCCGATAGTCGTGTAGGATTGTAGGGTACAGTATTAGAAGCTTGCTTGTACAGTTGTACAGTTCAGTGCACAGTTTTGAGTGTGTTTTTCCTCGTTCAATCCTGCTACATATCACGGTATCCATTGTAGCTACGACTATTTTGACTGTTTGCATGTAGCGCAGTGATTGTGCACGCTGTGCTTGTCGCGGTGTAGTGTACTGGCATGACTTCGCATATCCTCCTGGCGTGAAATCCGGAAGGCTACTGTAGCTAAATTGTTGCCCGAAAATCTCTGTCCTATCAGAATGCCTGTAAAAGACATGCTGCGCTTACGATCCCAAGCAAATGCAATGTTTTTGGAAAAAGTATGTCGGATAAAGGGTACCCGATAACCCGCCCGTTAAGCCAGATACCCGTTTGTTACCTTAAAGGGTAACCGTATTCCAATCGATTTTAAAAACGTGTTGTGTTTGTGTGTGTGTGTGTTTGTGTGTGTGTGTGTGTGTGTGTGTGTGTGTGTGTGTGTGTGTTTGCTGTCTGTTGTGTTTTTCAGGAGAAGTGTGCCAGAGATGTTTCGTGCAATATGGACTGGGCAGGATAAGAACACGTAGCTCGATACACGCTTGTTTGTGCACGTGCCCATGCTTGATATGTGCTCGTTTGTGCACGTGCCCATGCTTGATATGTGCTCGTTTGTGCACGTGTCCATGCTTGCTTGATACGTGCACGTTTTTTGTGTGTTTGTGTGCATGCATGTACAAGTATGTGTATGTGTGCATCAGCACACCATCATTTGCCTAGGTTAGCAACTAGCCACAGCGATGTCTGAGATATTCCTAATTGATAAATTGACACCCGGATTCCATCACCATACCCCTAGAGTTGTATTATTACCACTCCGTTCCATCATGATAATATCTTTCTTGACGAGATATTTTACACCATTTACTTCATGTAATACCAGTCTCCTCAACAGCTGGAGGAACTGAGTCTGGCGGGGAACACACACTTTAGGAACGCCAACCATTGCAGTCCAGTCCCTCAGACACACAAGCTCCCCCTGTACACACAAGTCATGTACACAGCCAAATCGGGGACCGTCAAGGCCGAGAGAGGGAAGAGAATGGTTTGCCCGTACGTTAAACACATGGGCAGTGATCGGCAGTGAAGAAAAGAAATGAAAATTACAGCGTGGGAGAAAGAGAGACAGACAGAGATGAAAAAGGAGAGGGCGAGAGGTGGGGGGAGTCGGACTCACACATAGAAATACTAGTACATAGAGCAGCTAGCCGTTACATGGGGGTAAGTGGCTTATGTCACTCTAGGTCATGCTACCGTTCAGTCAGTGTTTGTAGAGGGATGGAAACAATTGATGCATGGCAGTCTGGGGATAGGGGGCTGGGATGCATAGCAGAAAATCAGGATAGGAGGAAAGGCATGTACTAGTAGTAGTACAGTGAGGATAGGGATATAAATACCTAACAGACTGAATTCTGTTCATCAGCACATTGCGATAGAAGAAATACAGTAACACATAATAGAAGTTTGATCCAAAACAAGACACGCCGAAGAAGCAGCGGAGAGAGAGAGAGAGAGAGAGAGAGAGAGAGAGAGAAAGAGAACGCGCGCGCGAGAGAGAGAGAGAGAGAGAGAGAGAGAGAGAGAGAGAGAGAGAGAGAGAGAGAGAGAGAGAGAGAGAGAGAGAGAGAGAGAGAGAGAGAGAGAGAGACAGACAGAGACAGAGAGACAGAGAGAGAGAGAGAGAGGGAGGGAGGGCGGGAGGAAGGGAGAGACAGAGAGAGAGACAGAGAGAGAGAGACAGAGAGAGACAGAGACAGAGAGAGACAGAGAGAGAGACAGAGAGAGACAGAGAGAGAGACAGAGAGAGACAGAGAGAGAGACAGAGAGAGAGAGAGAGAGAGAGAGAGAGAGAGAGAGAGAGAGAGAGAGAGAGAGAGAGAGAGAGAGAGAGAGAGAGAGAGAGAGAGAGAGAGAGAGAGAGAGAGAGAGAGAGAGAGAGAGAGAGAGAGAGAGAGAGAGAGAGAGAGGGAAAGAGAGGGAAAGAGAGGGAAAGAGAGGGAGGGAGGGAGGGAGAGAGAGAGGTTTACAATGCGTCGGTTGCTTGCATCCAGTTGCTGGTCAACAGGTGATGGTGTTGTGACTTATGCTACTTCGAAGTACTACCCGCTGCTTTCCTCCGAAGTCTCTTTCTCATTTTATTCCTACTGCCTATAAGGCTATTATAGAGCCAACTTTCTTCCCCTGCTTCTTCGGTTCAGTCGCGATCCGCTCAGAGACAGTAGTTCTTTTTTCAGAGACCATAGTCAGCTTTACATTCCAGGTGGGCACGAGAGTACATTCTAAAAGCCCGAAAATAGTTTGTTCATTTCTCTCATTTGTGGTTGGGGGCGGTGGGTGCAGTGCCCTCGGCGGATGCAGTGCCCTCGGCGGGTGCAGTGCCCTTGGCGGGTGCAGTGCCTTCCCCACTCACCTCTTCATACCTAACTGTTATCTCATTCATTACCCTGTCTTCACCCTTCTCCTTCATACCCCCTTCCCTCTTCCCTTCCCCTTCACTTCCTCCCCTTCAGGTACTTTCCTTCCCCGTCTCCTTGAGCTTACTCCCTTCACGTGCACCCCTTCACCTCATGGACATCCCAACCCTTCTCCCACCATCACCTTACTCCAGTTCCACTCTTACTATCCCCTTCCTTCCCTCCTTCCCAGGCCGACACTCTTATATCCAGACACGAAGCACAACATGACTGGATACAGTGTGTTGACAAGAGAGAGAGAGAGAGAGAGGGGGCATAGAGAAAATACTTGTACATAGTATAATTATAGATCAGCCAGCACCATACCAAGGTAAGCATGGAGCTGATGTCACTCTAAGACATGCTATCATTCAGTCAGTCAGTCAGTCAGTATAGTGGGATAGAAAATAATCAATGCATACCAGCCAGGATATGGGGCCGGGTGGGTGGGGAGGGGAAGGGTGGGGGAGGGGAAGGGGGGGGGGGGGTAGGGGTAGCGAGGACGTAAATGCAGAACAGGTACTGCCGACATTGACATATTGAAAACATGATAGAGGTTTGATCCGAGACAAGAAACAAGAGAGAGAGAGGAGGGGGGGGAGGTAGAGAGCAAATCAGGTGTTCACCACAGACCGGGGCTCCAGTGGATCATTGCAGTAATAGCTCTGAAAGGCAGACACAGAGCAATGTGCAGCAATTATGTGACAGCGGACACGGCTAGCAGCATATACAAAAAAAATATGGGGAAGCGTTCGCACCATGCAGGTGCAAAGCGCGTACGGGCACCGTAAGGAGGGAAAAATACATGATTTAGGCGGTAAACTAGTTTTGGAAAGTGGCTATCAACCCATAGCATTGAGGATATCAAGATCAGACGTACAAACACAGTACACACTGTATTGAGACCTAATAGACTAGTGCTTGAAATAGCTTATACATGTAGTAGCTATCTGGGTATTGGAAGCAAGTACTTCAAGCCCACAAGCAAGTGTATGTGCCCTCCTACACACTCACGCACACACACACACACACACACACACACACACACCCACACACACACAGAGAGATGCTGCCGAGTGGCACGTGAAAGAGCAACGGGCATTGAAAACAAGATTACCAGCTTGTAGCACATTGTACTATACTGACTGGGGCAAAGTCAGTCAGTCAGGAATGATTAGAGCGAACAGCATGCAGGGAATAACAGAGCATGGCCAGGGTGTGTCATTGTGACAAAGCAAAGGCAGTGTATGGCACTATGTACACACTAGCGGAACTAAACCTGAACTGAAGCTGCACATTATGAAATACAAATGCGAATACACAACATACGCACACGTGTGTGCATTCGCAAAACACACGTGTGTGCACGCGCACACACACGCACACACACACACACACACACACACACACACACACACACACAGGCACACGCGTGCGCGGACACCCGCGCCCACCTAGTGCGACTGACATCCCCGACTTGTCTCTTGTACAGAACTGGTGACGATAACTTGACAGTTGAATTTCGCCGGCCGACGTCACTGAATTACCTGTGCATGGTTAGATCATAGAAAGAAAGCAGCGCAGGGACAAAATGTGAAAACAGGTTTCCGCTTTGCAATTCGGACTGCCTCCAGCACAGCCAGGTGAGATTTGTTTCATATTTTTTCCGTGCTCAAGTTTAAATATAGAAGTGTTAGTGAGTGTTGTGTTAGTGTGAGCACCACACCACACATCTCATATACATCTACAGTCCATTCATCGGAGACAGTCCCGCTAGCTTATGAAAGTCCGATTTGGGCCGAATTGAGGATTAAAAGCTCACTTTAAATCTCAAAATCTGGGTTTGGGATCTGCTTCTCCGCACATTTTGCCATGGAATACCTGTCCAAATTTTGTAGAACCTGGCTGAATTTCTATTTCCCTGTTCTTGGACTTTTCTCGCCTCAAGTGTGGCAAAGAGTAATTGCACGGGTCACACAATGCACGATGTACTGTTGTTTTCACGATATCTACAACTATGTGCCGGAGGCACCAAAAAGTTAGGGTGCCAGTTTCCAATGAATGGACCGTAGCTATCTGTGCTGCAAGTAGTGTATAGCAATCGTTGTAGACTGGCATTTTGCCCTATGTCAACAGGAGTACGTGTGAAGCAGTTGTTACTATTTTGATATTGAAGTACAATAACAGTACCCAGTGTTGTATGGTCCTGATTAAATCTACAGAAAAATAATGACTATTTGCTTGGTGGTTCTGGCTTTGCTGTGTAGCTGGTGTCACCTGCACGCTTGGTGTCTTCATGGTCTATTCAGTGTACACTACAATGCATGCATGCACGCATACACCACTATAGTCTGGCCATACGGGACACATGACCGGAAATGAACATGAGTGACGAAGACAACCCCGTTGTGCACGAATCGGCTGGGTTGAATTTCTAGTAAATAATGTCAGGCCCGCCGGAACCGGTCCAGTTGGTCAGGTTGACACCGGACCAGCTTTTTGGCCATCAACACATGTTTCTCACTGTGGAGGGCATGTGGACACGCCATACCGTAAAGTCGCGGATAAAAGCCGGGCTTATAAGCACATAAGCCGCTTTCTGCATCAGGCTTTAATGCAAACCAGGCTTGTATGCAAACCATGCTTATATGCACCACTGATATTTTTGTCAGGCTTGTATGCACAGGCTTCTACGCGCAACACGCGTAGATCTACCACTGACTACTGGTATGGTGGCAGTTTTACTATGCACCGAACATAGCGCATGCACTCTTGACCTACCTGATCCGCGCTTGCATAGAAGCCAGGATTCTACGCGCGACAGGCTTATATGCATTTGACCCATTTGATTTTCAGGCTTCTATCCGCGATGTGCTTGTATGCAAACCCGGCTTTTATCCGCCACTTTACGGTATACAGTACACACAAACTGTTTGAAAGGCCATGTTTCAGCGGGACCAATGAAAAGCCTGCTTCCGGCCGTCCTGAAGGTGATCCAGCCATGGTCAACAGGCCGGTGCACAGGCTGCTAAGGTCCTGTCAGTAGAACAAATAAAACTTCAATCTGGATAGTCTTTAGTAGTACTGTAAAGTACCGCCAGAGCGCCCCACCATCTCGTCCTTTCATGGTCGTATTGTGGAGGTGGTCTCCTGTCCGTAGGTCATACGACACGAACTTTGTACACAATCATATTGCACGTTCTGCAGACAATCTGTACCTTCGAGCGGACACGAGCTCCACACAAAAACCTGCTTAGGCCCGTAACTTGACCTTAGTACACTAAGGTTCTCACACCGTACAAACGTCGTTGCACTCTGCCATACGATTTTTCTTTCCCTGGCTGTAAAATGAAGGTGGGACGCTCCCGCGAGACGGGGCGCTCTGGCGGTACTTTACGGTATGCGCGGTGACCGTGTAACGTGTGCTCTCGAGTGTGATCTTAGGCATCACCGTCTGTCGCGGGTCAAGTGAGATTTGAGTTCCAGGACGTATGTCGGTCGAATGGCAGTTGTCCTGTGCAAGATCAATACCTTTTTTTTTTTACGGTTTAGTAATAACTATCGACCACCTCTTGGGGCCAGAGAAACCGGTCTTTAGTTGCAGGTGGTCCTTAGTTACAGGTGGTCCTTAGTTACAGGTGGTCTTTAGTGGCAGGTGGTCCTTAGTTACAGGTGGTCCTTAGTTACAGGTGGTCCTTAGTTACAGGTTTGCTCCCCACAACCATATATGAATGTGAGACCGTCCGAGCCTGGCAAAGTGGTCTGTAGTACCAGGCTGGTTGCTAGTGGCGGTGGTCTGTAGTACCAGGCTGGTTGCTAGTGACGGTGGTCTGTAGTACCAGGCTGGTTGCTAGTGACGGTGGTCTGTAGTACCAGGCTGGTTGCTAGTGACGGTGGTCTGTAGTACCAGGCTGGTTGCTAGTGACGGTGGTCTGTAGTACCAGGCTGGTTGCTAGTGACGGTGGTCTGTAGTACCAGGCTGGTTGCTAGTGACGGTGGTCTGTAGTACCAGGTTGGTTGCTAGTGACGGTGGTCTGTAGTACCAGGCTGGTTGCTAGTGACGGTGGTCTGTAGTACCAGGCTGGTTGCTAGTGACGGTGGTCTGTAGTACCAGGGTGGTTGCTAGTGACGGTGGTCTGTAGTACCAGGCTGGTTGCTAGTGACGGTGGTCTGTAGTACCAGGTTGGTTGCTAGTGACGGTGGTCTGTAGTACCAGGCTGGTTGCTAGTGACGGTGGTCTGTAGTACCAGGCTGGTTGCTAGTGACGGTGGTCTGTAGTACCAGGCTGGTTGCTAGTGACGGTGGTCTGTAGTACCAGGCTGGTTGCTAGTGACAGTGGTCTGTAGTACCAGGCTGGTCGCTAGTGACGGTGGTCTTTAGTTACAGGCGTTAATGTAACACGTCCATCACTGCACCAGTGTGCCGCTGTGCCCAATATAGGAACTGAACAAAATCGAGGCAGCCTCATCCACACCACTCACAAGCTCACATACGCAGACACAGACAGCAGACTCACGGTCCCTCGTGTACTATCTTTCAACAGATGCTCTTACCGGAGAAGTGTACGCATCTCGTCAGCCAGCGGTGGGTGAACATGGGTTGCGATGGCATCGCAGAGCTTGGCGTACGCATCCCGTCCGCATGCACGTATGCAGCTTATCACGTACAAGTGATGCTGCTCCGGTCCGCTCTGCTTCTCAAGGCGAATTAGCTCCTCGATTTCTTCCAACAGCAGAAGCCCTTGGACCTGGACACATTTGCGAAACTTGGCGCAGGGAATCTTGTACAGCTTGGGCAGAATGACGCGTACAAACTCTGGCCGGTCGAATGGATTAACTGCAGAAGAATGACAGCAATATAACAACAACATCAAACATTTGAGGCAAACACAAACATGCACCAAACAGTGGGCGTTGCCAATGGCATCATCTTTCATCCTATTCATAACACTCGCATTTTCTGATTCTTCTTGTGGACTGCGCATCGGAGGGCATGAACCAAAATGCGATCACTAGCCAACTCGGTCACCAATGGTGGCAAATACAGTAAAACTGCCCAGATCCGGGCAGGTTGGGACCGAGCACTGCCCGTATTAAACTGGGAATTGCCCGTGAATTCAGAACAAACGCAGGTACTGTATGAAAATACACAATTTCTCATGCCAATCACAAGTTGTTGGGGCTATTTTCATTGGAAAGCCAATTTTTCTAGTGGCGTCCGGGGCTGTGAGAAGTAGTGTGGCAGTCGGGACTGTTTCGGTGGCGATGGTTCTTTGTGCATGCCCAAGTCTCGCAGATGTCTCCAGTACGATGTCAGATTCAGGTTTTCTACCGGTATTGTTTCTCACTCACCGTCGTCCTGCATTCCCACAGAGCCGTCAACAACTAAGGGACACAAGTCATCAACAGGACACTCCGGGTAGAACGGCTGAAAACACGGGATCAATACAGCAAAGAGAAAAAAGAGATCACAAATAATTCTTCAACGCTTAGCATACAGCATACGTCATGGAAATCAGTGTCCAGACAATAATTTAACACTTTGGTGCCTGACTGAGTATGCACTGCGCACCATTTCCACGACCATGTCGATCAAAACTGAATTTTTCCTAATACACCCGCCCCCCACCCCCTACCTTCTCTATAGGGCTTGAAAGTGCTACGTCACAGCATAGCAACAATTTCAAAAATTCAAAAACTGGATCCACTTGGATCCAGTTTTTGTATGGATCCAAGCACATTTCAAGCGGTCTTACCCACAGCATGGTGATGTAGCCAGTGAAACTGACTGATTTGGCTACTGGGGGCGGGGTTACAACTGGTGGCGAAATAAAAGTCACACCTGCATGCGACATGAGTGGGTTGCTACGCACCCACATACTTAGGCAATAGCAAAGTCACACCTTAGTGGATCCAAAAGTAGAAATCTGATGTCAACTTACTACTCCCTGGCCGTTTTGACGTCATCACTTTCAAGCCCTATAGCTATCCATAGGCTAGCTACTTAGGAGTCTCTGTGAATAGAGCTATGGACAGCAGGGTTAATGGTAGGCACTTCAGTCACGTGACAGAACCTGTCAAAATTTGCTGAGGTGAGAGTGCGTACTTGCGTGGCACCAGTCAAGTGCATGCGCTAAACTGTACAGGTACGCACTATGCTTCGTTGTACGGGCTGATAGTTGGGCGCATCGTGTTGCTCTGACGTTCAGCTTTCAGTAGATCCCGCATACGTCATAGTGCGTACATTTTTGCGAGTTGTAGATCACTTACACAACCAGCAAAGAGTTTTTTCACAAAGAACTGTTGTTTGCTCGCGTTTGAAACGTTGCTTATCGTCTTCAGCGTCGTCTTTCCATTCGGAAACAGTAGAGTTCTTGTTTACCAGGGTTTGCGCATCGCTGCGCAAGGAGACATTATGTACGTAGGCACTGAGAAGTATGCGCTTTAGGCGGAGGAGAACGACGATGCGTCGTCCTACCTGGGCGAATTCTCAAAGCGTACTGAAAGCCAAGTTTTGACACGGTTGCGCTGGAAGGCCTACTGATGTTTACGAACAATCAAAAGGCACAGTGGCTGCTGGAGAAACCCTCTGATGAGGGGATGCTTTGATATACGCAGCCAGGCACGCTTCACCAAAATTTCAAAGCTCACCAGCAGGCAATTCATGACTGCTGCATGGAGCAGTTGAAGGATAGGGAGGCAGATATCACACCATGGAAAGAAGCTACCAACAGAGGTCCTGAAGAACTTCTTGCCAACTTGGAATCACTTGAAGTGGCAGGACTGTGAGCACGAATGTCCTGTGCAGTAATTCGCGCGCGCGTACATACCCTCCACATTGCGGTGTCCGGCGTACAACGAGGAAGTTCTCTGTTGTTTTTGTGCCAGAAGAATGTCTTTATAACTCTTACGCTTTTGTACCCGCCGGAGCCTGCCAGTATGTCGTTATCAGTTCATTTCACAGCAAACTGAAGCTGTTACTATGGGTTACTATGGCGTTGCTATGGAGTTGCTATAGTGATTGCGGTCACAATTGCCGTATTCTTGCCTATTCTGAACTTTGATCTGTATTGTTTCGATCCATACAGGGTTGTCGGTGTAAGTGAGTGATGTGTGCTTGAAAAAAACACTCTGATGTTTTGTGACTATATCCACTGATGATACTTCGGAGATGCTGTTGGTGCCACAAATTGTATTGATCTCGCCTCATCCAACTGCCTATCTTCAACCCTTCATATCTGAGTGGTATCACTGTGGATTTCAATAAAATTTTCTGTGTGACCTTGTGATACCCACCACCATCGATTGCCGATGATAAACCTGGAAAAAACGCGATTTCAAAAAATGGGGTGAAGTGCCTATTAATGGTGCCCTCGTGACTTCAGACTCAGTCTGTTAATTCCAATCAGTGGAATGATCTCACTCAGGTCCGTATGAAGTCATGAGAGCACAATTACTAAGTCATGTTAATCTTGTTCCTAGATTACCTGATCATGCAGTCGGTAGGAATCACTTGCAGTGCTTGCCTTCTTGACGTATAAAGGATTAGCTGGAGAAGAATGACAGCAACATAACAAATAAAAACATTTGAGGCAAAAAAAACGCAATGGATCATCACACACGCATTTGACTATCTTGCACCACAGAGTAGTCGTTGTCAATGGCATCATCTTTCATCCTATTCATAACACTCGCATATTCTGATTCTTCATGTGGACTGCGCATCGGAGGGCATGAACCAAAAAGCGATCACTAGCCAACTCGGTCACCAATGCTGGCAAATACAGTAAAACTGCCCAGATCCGGGCAGGTTGGGACCGAGCACTGCCCGTATTAAACTGGGAATTGCCCGTGAATTCAGAACAAACGCAGGTACTGTATGAAAATGCACAATTTCTCATGCCAATCACAAGTTGTTGGGGCTATTTTCATTGGAAAGCCAATTTTTCTAGTGGCGTCCGGGGCTGTGGGAAGTAGTGTGGCAGTCGGGACTGTTTCGGTGGCGATGGTTCTTTGTGCATGCCCAAGTCTCGCAGATGTCTCCAGTACGATGTCAGATTCAGGTTTCCTACCGGTATTGTTTCTCACTCACCGTCGTCCTGCATTCCCACAGAGCCGTCAACAACTAAGGGACACAAGTCATCAACAGGACACTCCGGGTAGAACGGCTGAAAACACGGGATCAATCCAGCAAAGAGAAAAAAGAGATCACAAATAATTCTTCAACGCTTAGCATACAGCATACGTCATGGAAATCAGTGTTCAGACAATAATTTAACACTTTGGTGCCTGACTGAGTATGCACTGCGCACCATTTCCACGACCATGTCGATCAAAACTGAATTTTTCCTAATACACCCGCCCCCTCACCCCCTACCTTCTCTATAGCTATCCATAGGCTAGCTACTTAGGAGTCTCTGTGAATAGAGCTATGGACAGCAGGGTTAATGGTGCCCTCGTGACTTCAGACTCAGTCTGTTAATTCCAATCAGTGGAATGATCTCACTCAGGTCCGTATGAAGTCATGAGAGCACAATTACTAAGTCATGTTAATCTTGTTCCTAGATTACCTGATCATGCAGTCGGTAGAAATCACTTGCAGTGCTTGCCTTCTTGACGTATAAAGGATTAGCTGGAGAAGAATGACAGCAACATAACAAATAAAAACATTTGAGGCAAAAAAAACACATTGGATCATCACACACGCATTTGATTATCTTGCACCACAGAGTAGTCGTTGTCAATGGCATCATCTTTCATCCTATTCATAACACTCGCATATTCTGATTCTTCATGTGGACTGCGCATCGGAGGGCATGAACCAAAAAGTGATCACTAGCCAACTCGGTCACCAATGGTGGCAAATACAGTAAAACTGCCCAGATCCGGGCAGGTTGGGACCGAGCACTGCCCGTATTAAACTGGGAATTGCCCGTGAATTCAGAACAAACGCAGGTACTGTATGAAAATACACAATTTCTCATGCCAATCACAAGTTGTTGGGGCTATTTTCATTGGAAAGCCTATTTTTCTAGTGGCGTCCGGGGCTGTGAGAAGTAGTGTGGCAGTCGGGACTTTTTCGGTGGCGATGGTTCTTTGTGCATGCCAAAGTCTCGCAGATGTCTCCAATGCGATCTCAGATTCAGATTTCCTATCGGTATTGTTTCTCACTCACCGCCGTCATCCATTCCCACAGCGCCGTCAACAACTAAGCGACACAAGTCATCAACAGGGCACTCCCGGTAGAATGGCTGAAAAACACGGCATCAATACAGCAAAGAAAAAAAAGAGATCACAAATAATTCTTCAATGCTTAGCATACAGCATACGTCATGGAAATCAGTGTCCAGACAATAATTTAACACTTTGGTGCCTGACTGAGTATGCACTGTGCACCAATTCCACGACCATGTCAATCAAAACTTATTTTTTTCCTAATACACCCCCCCCCCTCCCCTACCTTCTCCATAGCTATCCATAGGCTAGCTACTTAGCAGTCTCTGTGAATAGAGCTATGGACAGCAGGGTTTATGGTGCCCTCGTGACTTCAGACTCGCACCAAGGCGAGGTCAGTCTGCTAATTTCAATCAGTCGAACGATTGCCCTCAGGTCTGTATGAAGTCATGAGTGAACAATTACTAAGTCTTATTCATCTTGTTCCTAGATTAACAGAACATGGAGTCGGTAGGAATCACTTGCAGTGCTTGCCTTCTTGAAGTATAAATTTGTCCCACAAACCAACAAATGTACATGGACCAGGGAGTGTGCAACACTGCAAACGGATACTGGATACCGGAATTCGACTTCCACGTCATTCTCGATGAGTCCTGTATGGCGTATAGTTTAAGTCCTGCCTCTACCATGCACTATGTAGATACATTACCTACCCAGGTTAAATTACATACATTCTCAGTATATTGGAGGAACGAGCAGGGTCGTGAAAGGTACAACTTTCTACTGCGATAACAATGTTTACCTTGATCCATCTATCCCACGTTGGCCGGTCGGTATGCGCTTGCCCAAGGCCACAGCGAATCGGTCGGACGTCTTTGCCAATCTCTGCAAAGTGCTGGCATCCGGTGCTCCTGCAGTGCTGCTGGTCATGAAGCTGGCATGGCCTGTCATCGCGGCACAGGCACGCAATGTTGGGATGGAGGCGCAGCAGGCGCTGGCCATACAGCTGCTGCAGCTCTGTGGTGGCACTGAGAATGAAGCGAACAACAGACTCGCAGTGATCTATTGTCTTCTCGCTCTTGTCGCTGTCCACTGTGATGCAAATGGCTGTGGAAGAATAGAAGAGGTGAAGCTGAAACTCATTCTGGCACCTCATAGAGACGTTGAGGCCCATGCGCAAATCCTTCGTCCGGTGCGGTTGGTACTTTTGCAAGCATCGCACGGTGATTCGGCCAAAATGCGCTTGAGTGATGCTCCTGTCTGGATCTTCGTCAACCAAGTAGAGCGGCGCTGATTTGGACTCTAGCGCTTGTGACGGCTTGCACTGGGCAAGGGCTGGCACATAATAGACTTTGTACCCTGTACAAAATGGATCATCTTCACCAGCATCATAGACTACGCCATGAGACGCTAGCAGTGAAAAGAGACTTCGGCGCTGCTTCCGAGATCGCACCAGACCTTCCGTGGCCTTCTCCTGCTGCCATCTGTGAATGGCTAGCGACTCACACAGGATGCCATCCTTCAGCAGCTTGTATTGCTCCTTGAACTCGGCAGCTTGCTTATACAACAAAGGTGCTGGCAAAAGGACAGCCTTGGATGCTGACATCAGCCATGGGGTGCTAGCTAGAACCATTTTTCTTTGGCCAAAAGCTGCGGCTGCTACTCCTTCTGCCATGGCTTGTGGCTGAGATTGTGACGTGCGCCCTGCTGCTGCTGTTGCTGCTGCTGTTGGTGATTGTAGTGGTGCTGCTCGTGGTGTGGATGCTGATGATGCTTGTGTTGCTCCAACAGGTGGCATACTAGCTGTAGCCGATGGAAAGTGGCTACCCTCATCATCAAAGACAATGAGATAGCCAAGCGACTGGTTCAAGCTCAAGAGACGAGGCACATCCACGTCAGTATCACCAAATGCATCCTGAGCGATGCTGCATACCCTGTCGTAGCTCATGATGAATGATGACGTCTTCTGTGCAATCGTCTCCAATACCTCTGGGAATGGCAGCCACGAGATTGGCAACTTCTCTCTGCGACGGGATTGAATGACGCAGGCCAACTGTTCACGCAACTCTGCAACTCCTTGGTCAACTCTTGACCCAGACAGAGTGTTGTTAACAAAGATGATCGGATGAAGGCTGTCAGTATACTTCTTGCCGAGCGTCAGTTGTTGCAGTTGTTTCCTTCGTTTGCGAACATCTTCTTTCGACATACGATCCAGGTGTGTGCCAATGAGGAAAATCGGCGTTGTGGAGTTGTCGGTAAGTGCTTCGCGGGCTGTACATAGCCATGAATCGATGACATCAAAGTAGGTACAGGTGGGTTGGTTGATGTTGAGCTGATTGTCCTCGCCATCTTCATCAGTCAGGATATCTGCATACCGTGTATCAGGTTTGATGCTGGCATCAAAGACGACGCAGTACGTGGTGCGTTCGGGTGAAAACACAAGGTCGTGTAACGCGTGGAATGGCATCTGCCCTGCCAAATCCCACACGTCAACAAACAGTGTGTTCTCACCCAAACCAGAAGTCTCATCCAGACGCTTGAAAAACGTGCCCCAAACTGCACCAGCTGCACCAGCTGCTCCAGCTGCCAGACGCTGGAAGGCGTTTGTACCGCTGGCATCAGTTTGCCGAGAGTCAGCACCAGCACCGATAATTTTGTCGATGATTGAGGCAGACAGCAGGGCTAGGTGATCCGACGCATCCGTTGGCTCCAATTGGTACACTCCTCTTTTGCTCTTATTCAGGGTGAAGGTAAGCTTTTCCATGTCTATGCCAAGTGTACTGACGGTCTTCGTGAACTTCTTGTCTTGCAGCGACCTCAACACTCCAGTTTTTCCGCCGCGACCAGGGCCCATGAGTAGTACTCGCTCGTAGACAATGTCGGCGATGCAGCTTGAAAACACTTCCTTCCTCCTCTGCTCAGCCATACGTCTTCTTTCTACATCGCATCGCAAAAACAAAAAAGCACATCCACTTCTCAGGCACTTGAGAGAGACTAGCCAGGAACTGCATGTACTACAAGTAGAGAAGTATTTTTGAAACTGTAGTATTGAAATGACGAATGTAAATGCGCTCATCAGCAGTCACGGTGCAACAGCCGAGTTGCAAATCAAACGTTTTCTTGTGGCATTCATCATGAATCAGTCACCACAGTAAGGTGCAGCTAAAACAGCAGCAGAAGAGCACTATCGTCAGGAGTGATTGATAGGATTTCGAATAGAACTTGACGACAAAAGTTGCGCTTTCTAGCAGCCATAATAGTGTTAGAAAGTATGTGCCTATGTGTATAAACAAGAAAACTTCCATGCTGGTATGGATTGAGTCCGTACAAAGCAGGCGCAGGCCAAAGATATCCCTCACTTTGCATTGGCCTGTTTTCTGATTACTTTGCCATTGCCAGCCACTGCCTATGTTACTGTGTTGTCCCGTGGTGCACTAAACAGGTGTAGTACAAAGAGGTAATAACTGCTATTTCTACCGCACGCAACATCCGCAATGTTTGAAACTGCATACATAAAGATTATAGCCAGCCGCTCAAAGAGTAACAGAGATTTCCAGGCAATGTGCAAAACAAACCATCCATCGCTAACTTGACCAGACAGGAAAGATTGCTTGTGCAAAAGAGCTGCTCAAGCACACCACAGACACCCCAGGCGACACGGACTCTATTAGAAAGTAGCGAGAAGGGATCAGTATTGGTTTGTGCTAAAGACTTTTTGATGATTATTAACTTACCCGCTGCAGTTGCCATCAAGAACATTCAAATTGAGGACAAGATAGGAACAGATCCGTCATAGGAGATGAGAAGAGCAAGATGATCATACAGAAGTAAACAAACGGATGAATAGGTCACACCACAGACAAGCAGAAAATCAATATTCATTGGAAGATTATTTAACTAAAGTAAAAGTGCTGTCTTCTTGACCTCTGTGTCATCAGAGCCCCCTTTTCGCCTCTGCATGCGCCGCTGCGCATCGATTGTGCATGGCCTTTGGTCTACAATTATGTATTGTCGTTCTTGCAACGCATTCTTTCATAACTCTCCTTCTTTACAACTTCAAGAACTGTTGTTCGGTATGTGAGAGTTGGGGAGCAGCAAAAGAGCACTATCGTCAGGAGTGATTGATAGGATTTCGAATAGAACTTGACGACAAAAGTTGCGCTTTCTAGCAGCCATAATAGTGTTAGAAAGTATGTGCCTTTGTGTATAAACAAGAAAACTTCAATGATGGTATGGATTGAGTCCGTACAAAGCAGGCGCAGGCCAAAGATATCCCTCACTTTGCATTGGCCTGTTTTCTGATTACTTTGCCATTGCCAGCCACTGCCTATGTTACTGTGTTGTCCCGTGGTGCACTAAACGGGTGGAGTACAAAGAGGTAATAACTGCTATTTCTACCGCACGCAACATCCGCAATGTTTGAAACTGCATACATAAAGATTATAGCCAGCCGCCCAAAGAGTAACAGAGATTTCCAGGTAATGTGCAAAACAAACCATCCATCGCTAACTTGACCAGTCAGGAAAGATTGCTTGTGCAAAAGCGCTGCTCAAGCACACCACAGACACCCCAGGCGACACGGACTCTGTTAGACAGTAGCGAGAAGGGATCAGTATTGGTTTGTGCTAAAGACTTTTTGATGATTATTAACTTACGGTCTGCAGTTGCCATCAAGAACATTCAAATTGAGGACAAGATAGGAACAGATCCGTCATAGGAGATGAGAAGAGCGAGATTATCATACAGAAGTAAACAAACGGATGAATAGGTCACACCACAGACAAGCAGAAAATCAATATTCATTGGAAGATTATTTAACTAAAGTAAAAGTGCTGTCTTCTTGACCACTGTGTCATCAGAGCCCCCTTTTCGCCTCTGCATGCGCCGCTGCGCATCGATTGTGCATGGCCTTTGGTCTACAATTATGTATTGTCGTTCTTGCAACGCATTCTTTCATAACTCTCCTTCTTTACAACTTCAAGAACTGTTGTTCTGTATGTGAGAGTTGGGGAGCAGCGGAAGAGCACTATCATCAGGAGTGATTGATAGGATTTCGAATAGAACTTGACGACAAAAGTTGCGCTTTCTAGCAGCCGTAATAGTGTTAGAAAGTATGTGCCTTTGTGTATAACCAAGAAAACTTCCACGCTTGTACGGATTGAGTCCGTACAAAGCAGCCGCAGGCCAAAGATATCCCTCACTTTGCATTGGCCTGTTTTCTGATTACTTTGCCATTGCCAGCCACTGGCTATGTTACTGTGTTGTCCCGTGGTGCACTAAACGGGTGAAGTACAAAGATGTAATAACTGCTATTTCTACCGCGCACAACATCCGCAATGTTTCAAACTGCATACATAAAGATTATAGCCAGCCGCCCAAAGAGTAACAGAGCGTTCCAGGTAATGTGCAAAACAAACCATCCATCACTAACTTGACCAGACAGGAAAGATTGCTTGTGCAAAAGCGCTGCCCAAGCTCACCACAGACACCCCAGCCGACACAGACTCTATTAGACAGTAGCGAGAAGGGATCACTATTGATTTGTGCTAAAGACTTTTTGATGATTATTAACTTACCCGCTGCAGTTGCCATCAAGAACATCCGAATTGAGGACAAGATAGGAACAGATCCGTCATAGGAGATGGGAAGAGCGAGATGATCATACAGAAGTAAACAAACGGTTGAAAAGGTCACATCACAGACAAGCAGAAAATCAATATTCATTGGAAGATTATTTAACTAAAGTAAAAGTGCTGTCTTCTTGACCTCTGTGTCATCAGAGCCCCCTTTTCGCCTCTGCATGCGCCGCTGCGCATCGATTGTGCATGGCCTTTGGTCTACAATTATGTATTGTCGTTCTTGCAACGCATTCTTTCATAACTCTCCTTCTTTACAACTTCAAGAACTGTTGTTCGGTATGTGAGAGTTGGGGAGCAGCAAAAGAGCACTATCGTCAGGAGTGATTGATAGGATTTCGAATAGAACTTGACGACAAAAGTTGCGCTTTCTAGCAGCCATAATAGTGTTAGAAAGTATGTGCCTTTGTGTATAAACAAGAAAACTTCAATGATGGTATGGATTGAGTCCGTACAAAGCAGGCGCAGGCCAAAGATATCCCTCACTTTGCATTGGCCTGTTTTCTGATTACTTTGCCATTGCCAGCCACTGCCTATGTTACTGTGTTGTCCCGTGGTGCACTAAACGGGTGGAGTACAAAGAGGTAATAACTGCTATTTCTACCGCACGCAACATCCGCAATGTTTGAAACTGCATACATAAAGATTATAGCCAGCCGCCCAAAGAGTAACAGAGATTTCCAGGTAATGTGCAAAACAAACCATCCATCGCTAACTTGACCAGTCAGGAAAGATTGCTTGTGCAAAAGCGCTGCTCAAGCACACCACAGACACCCCAGGCGACACGGACTCTGTTAGACAGTAGCGAGAAGGGATCAGTATTGGTTTGTGCTAAAGACTTTTTGATGATTATTAACTTACGGTCTGCAGTTGCCATCAAGAACATTCAAATTGAGGACAAGATAGGAACAGATCCGTCATAGGAGATGAGAAGAGCGAGATTATCATACAGAAGTAAACAAACGGATGAATAGGTCACACCACAGACAAGCAGAAAATCAATATTCATTGGAAGATTATTTAACTAAAGTAAAAGTGCTGTCTTCTTGACCACTGTGTCATCAGAGCCCCCTTTTCGCCTCTGCATGCGCCGCTGCGCATCGATTGTGCATGGCCTTTGGTCTACAATTATGTATTGTCGTTCTTGCAACGCATTCTTTCATAACTCTCCTTCTTTACAACTTCAAGAACTGTTGTTCTGTATGTGAGAGTTGGGGAGCAGCGGAAGAGCACTATCATCAGGAGTGATTGATAGGATTTTGAATAGAACTTGACGACAAAAGTTGCGCTTTCTAGCAGCCGTAATAGTGTTAGAAAGTATGTGCCTTTGTGTATAACCAAGAAAACTTCCACGCTTGTACGGATTGAGTCCGTACAAAGCAGCCGCAGGCCAAAGATATCCCTCACTTTGCATTGGCCTGTTTTCTGATTACTTTGCCATTGCCAGCCACTGGCTATGTTACTGTGTTGTCCCGTGGTGCACTAAACGGGTGAAGTACAAAGATGTAATAGCTGCTATTTCTACCGCGCACAACATCCGCAATGTTTCAAACTGCATACATAAAGATTATAGCCAGCCGCCCAAAGAGTAACAGAGCGTTCCAGGTAATGTGCAAAACAAACCATCCATCACTAACTTGACCAGACAGGAAAGATTGCTTGTGCAAAAGCGCTGCCCAAGCTCACCACAGACACCCCAGCCGACACAGACTCTATTAGACAGTAGCGAGAAGGGATCACTATTGATTTGTGCTAAAGACTTTTTGATGATTATTAACTTACCCGCTGCAGTTGCCATCAAGAACATCCGAATTGAGGACAAGATAGGAACAGATCCGTCATAGGAGATGGGAAGAGCGAGATGATCATACAGAAGTAAACAAACGGTTGAAAAGGTCACATCACAGACAAGCAGAAAATCAATATTCATTGGAAGATTATTTAACTAAAGTAAAAGTGCTGTCTTCTTGACCTCTGTGTCATCAGAGCCCCCTTTTCGCCTCTGCATGCGCCGCTGCGCATCGATTGTGCATGGCCTTTGGTCTACAATTATGTATTGTCGTTCTTGCAACGCATTCTTTCATAACTCTCCTTCTTTACAACTTCAAGAACTGTTGTTCGGTATGTGAGAGTTGGGGAGCAGCAAAAGAGCACTATCGTCAGGAGTGATTGATAGGATTTCGAATAGAACTTGACGACAAAAGTTGCGCTTTCTAGCAGCCATAATAGTGTTAGAAAGTATGTGCCTTTGTGTATAAACAAGAAAACTTCAATGATGGTATGGATTGAGTCCGTACAAAGCAGGCGCAGGCCAAAGATATCCCTCACTTTGCATTGGCCTGTTTTCTGATTACTTTGCCATTGCCAGCCACTGCCTATGTTACTGTGTTGTCCCGTGGTGCACTAAACGGGTGGAGTACAAAGAGGTAATAACTGCTATTTCTACCGCACGCAACATCCGCAATGTTTGAAACTGCATACATAAAGATTATAGCCAGCCGCCCAAAGAGTAACAGAGATTTCCAGGTAATGTGCAAAACAAACCATCCATCGCTAACTTGACCAGTCAGGAAAGATTGCTTGTGCAAAAGCGCTGCTCAAGCACACCACAGACACCCCAGGCGACACGGACTCTGTTAGACAGTAGCGAGAAGGGATCAGTATTGGTTTGTGCTAAAGACTTTTTGATGATTATTAACTTACGGTCTGCAGTTGCCATCAAGAACATTCAAATTGAGGACAAGATAGGAACAGATCCGTCATAGGAGATGAGAAGAGCGAGATTATCATACAGAAGTAAACAAACGGATGAATAGGTCACACCACAGACAAGCAGAAAATCAATATTCATTGGAAGATTATTTAACTAAAGTAAAAGTGCTGTCTTCTTGACCACTGTGTCATCAGAGCCCCCTTTTCGCCTCTGCATGCGCCGCTGCGCATTGATTGTGCATGGCCTTTGGTCTACAATTATGTATTGTCGTTCTTGCAACGCATTCTTTCATAACTCTCCTTCTTTACAACTTCAAGAACTGTTGTTCTGTATGTGAGAGTTGGGGAGCAGCGGAAGAGCACTATCATCAGGAGTGATTGATAGGATTTCGAATAGAACTTGACGACAAAAGTTGCGCTTTCTAGCAGCCGTAATAGTGTTAGAAAGTATGTGCCTT